TATGAAATATGTGTTATATGCAATGTATGGATTTGGGGTTGTTACAGTTGCAAACAAGGTTGTCAGGTTCTCAGGCATACACTCAACATACTGTCCTATTACCTGATGCTCCACCATGAGCGTTTGCAGGTGGTAACTGTATCTTTCCGGAAAGAAAGAAACAAACAACTGCATTCCATTCAACTGTAAGGCATGCCAAACTGTTTTTTGAGATTACATGGACCAAACACCTACTACATGAATTTGGCACTTCAGTTGCCCCACTGACGAAGCTATACTCTAAGTTGTCCTTGTATATTGTATCAACAATCGGAAAATGAAGAAAAAAACAGCCTATCTACATTACATACAGTCAAGAACAAGGTATTTCATGAGAGGTTGATTGCACCTGGTCTTTAAACATGTTACGGTACCACAACTCGTCCAGCATCGGTCCAACCATCATATACAGACCAAGTATCAGTTATGACATCCAAACCAAGCGTTTACGGAACCAACAATCAATTTTATATGTGGCAAGTTAAGCATGATAATCATCTATGCTCCACCTTAAGGAGTTAACAAACACAAACGAACCCACTATGTCACATTCAGAACTAGGGTCTTGGGGTAGGATGTATGAAGACCTATCCTTTACCCAAATAAGTAGAGCCATTGTTTTCGTGAACCACACTGGCTTGTGAGGAAGTGTTTGCGGGAAGGTTTTGGGGAAGACCAAAGTGCTTCCGAAAGTTTGTCAAAAAAGTTTGAAGAGTTTGACTAAGTAGGGCTTGGAACCAAAAAGGTAAATTACCAAGAGTTTTTTAAAAGAAGAGCTCATATTAATACACACCAAGGAAAAGGGTACACAAGAAGGTATAGGCTCAAGGCTCATCATATACTCCAGCACTTTAACCATAATATCTTATTCTTATTGCAACATAAAACTTTCAAGTTAGACGATCAAATTTTAAACATAGATGTGTTTGATGAAAATAAATAGTTGCACCTGGCACGGAGATATCTGCAACCTCGTCAAGAGCTTTACATACAGATGTAGCTGTCCCTTCCTCACATAATGCGTCATAAGCAGCAAAAAATGATGTTACAGAGTTCCTTGAAGAAACAAATAAACACATTGCGGTTATTATCATTTTATAATGCCATGGGCCTTCCACTAGATCCCAACTAATGAGCAATAAGTGAAGTATACTTAAACAAACACGTCACACAGCTATATCATATAAAGAGGGAAGCTCAGCTACAGATTGATGCAAAAAGGGAGCAGCAGCTGTAAAGATTTCCATGCTTAGATCTTACTATTTTGGCGCCATGCTGTTTATTGATGGTTTCTAAGCTTTATGTATAAATCTAACCCACCATCCTGTCAATCGTGCTTTTAAGGTTGACTGAAATGCGAAATGAGAAATGACAAGAAATATGATGCAATGATCTGAGATTACTATATCCAATTGCACAGCATAAATATCTATGTATCTAGACCAGAAATATGAAATACCTCCTCCATCGAAAGATATACAAGGCCAATTCATTTACCCATTTCATTTCACTTCTAATTTCCTTATTGCTGGGTCTCATGTTCTTCTTGTCCCCCATCCCAAAATATAATGGAAATGGGGCCACAAATTGAACATAAATAATTTGGCCCTAAGCCTTTCTCCCAAAAGGTTAAAGTTAAGAGAATCTGCATGAGTAAAATCAGCACAAGTCCTTATTGACGATATATTGTGCAGAATTGGAATTCATTTAACCTTGCATGGATTTTTTAATGAATTCGATAGGAAAAAAAAAGATACGATGAGGGAAATTTGATGAAAAATACATTCCATAATAGACTTGTTTGATTGGCTAAATGTGATGATTATAAGAACTTCATGATAATTAACTTACCATTAAGAGTTTCCAAAGAAAGAACCATGAAAAGAAGATGTCAATATTGCTTTAAGAGTTGGTAAAAAAAAAGTTCATTTAATTTGGAATGGAGTGAGCATATACGTTAGCTAGTTATGTATGTAACATAGAAGATGATCACCTTGTTAAAAACAACCAAATATGATTTGTAGGTAAGCGCCATTTTCTGCAAAATGCAATAATCTCTGGAGTGGAGTAGAACTTAGGCTTCCCGTAGCCCAATTCAGTGACAGCAGTCACAACAACTGCTCAAGGTAAGACATACAAGTGGCATAAGCACATTGTGGCAGAAAAAGCATATTCCAACCAACATTTACAAAAATAAAAATAAGAAGTAATAACATAAGCCTGGTACAAAATAATTTCTATCAAACACTATAATCTGCTTATGTATATTGAGCATCACCAACAAGCAATGAATGAAGTAAAAAAATGAAGTACGATATAACCATGTTAGAAAAAGGGATTGGACGATTTACGTATTTCTATATGATAATCTTATAAATGATAGTGTCTAAAGTCCTCCGAAAATAATGATGAAAATCAATCAGAACATATATTCCTGCACGTCTGACAAGTGCCAAGATAAAACATCTTTACCAATATGCCCAATAACAAAAAAACAGCAAGCAAACAATGGTAATACTTCCATAATGAATATATATATATATATATATCCAAAACCTCAAAACAATGTTGATGAATCTTAATATGTTAGAAAATTACAAACTAATACAATGCACCTCTGTAATAGTTGACAGCAAGAATCAGACTGCACCCTCGGCACAAGAAAAAAATTTCAAAAAAAAACAAATAGACCAGCTAATTCATATAAAATCCAGAAATTTAAATGCATCAAAAGTAAAGGAAACCCGACCATATATTATCAACATACAATATTTTTTACGACTTTCAAGTGTATACTTCCTTTGTTTAACAACCAAACACTATTCATGAACTGATATACATAGGGTTACATCGGTTTACTCTTACCATAATCTTCCCGAGGACGCTGCCCATGGTCTCCTAGAACAGCAGTCACCAATTCCATCGATATGCTCATGTGTTCTCGCTAGAAGAATGACATGTTCATAAAAAGGTTATTGAGCTAAAAAAGAGCAAGTAAAGAAAGTTAACACTAAATCTTTGACAACATAACACAATTAAACCCTGCTTTTCTATGAGAGCACATACACCATGGTATTCATGAAAGCAATGCTTTCAAACGAATAAGCTTATACCATGATAACCATAACACAGCACACATAACTTGAAGGCTTTAAGAAGAACGGATATGGTTCTCATTTAGCAGGAGGACACATTATGTCCATGTGAAGCATATATACTTAACCTACAAAATAATTTGTTGTCCAACTATAATTAGGGATCCTTTTGCTTCTCTTCTAACCCAACCAACTTAGGTGACAAAGATCGGAATTTTCAATTTAGTTATGCATATGGGGGATTAACTGTTAACTGCATGGCCAAGAATATTTCCCTATTATGCTAATATGTTGTCTTTTTCGCTTTGACATGTCAATTTATAGTGATACGTGGTTTTTTGGTTTGAACCGAACATTCTTATTCCATAACTCATAATAATTTTGGTGGCATAATCAACTGTATTGATGAATGCCTCTCTAGACACTGACTACCCGTCTACCAACAGATAACTTTTCCTTATCTGAGAAAATTATTAGAGAATTTCGTCCTGGGTAGACATGGAAAAAACATTAAGGAAAATTAAGGAATTACAATGTTGTGTCTTCAATCTACCACATATTCCGGAAGGAAGTAAACAAACAACCGACTCTTTTATATTGTTATCCATCAAATTATTATCAGAATTTTAACATGACAAGTACCTCAAGAAATGCATTGAACTCTGCTTGTTTTTTGCTGGCTTCAGTGCCCCATGACTCGAGAAATATTCTTCCAAGAACAAAAACTCCAACCGCAGTATAACTGCAGGACAAATACAAGATTTAATAAACAAAAAGCAAACAGCTAATCCAATCAAAAACTAACAGTGATATCATGCATCAGACAATGCCTTGTGAGAGACATAAGCTACTATCTAACAACCTAGTCCTGAAGACATCTTGTAGATTTATCATAATTGTTGTTGCTGAGAACCATCTTCTGTAGTTTTAATCCATGTAGAGCAATAATTATAAATTATTTGCTACAAATCTAGTCATTTGTTTTCTGAGAACATCAATGGACATTGGACAGTGGAAATCCAAGAACAGTGTACTTACAAGTGACGAATGTAAAAAATTACTTGTCTCAAACCACATTCTCCATATGACCTGTTTATAGTTCATTATTCTATCCTTATATTTGAACTTTAGATGTAAATCTCATGCTTAAAATGATGTAAATGTGTAGAAATGGTATCCTTGTCTATGTGAGGTATTAAGAGGTAGATCCAAAATCTTTCTTCACTAAATGTATCTCTGAAGCTTGAGTTGAGATTAATGTCTAAGTCTAACATGATAAGTAGATTGAAGATGCAGATAATATAAAATCAAAAAGAAAGAAAAGGATCTCAACATACACATTCCCAAAGCTGTTCTTTGCATATGCTCCACCCTCATGACCAGCATACATGAAAAGTGATCCAGAGTGTTTGAGTGACACCTAGTAACATAATGGAAGCATAGACATGCATAAAGGGGTGAAGAAGTTAATTGGAAAGTATCAATGAACATTATTAGCCATAAAAGCATGCCAAAGAAACATCATTAAGAAAGATTGTAGGCACACTGTACCTCCAATGTAGCAAGGCCTTTTGAGACCAGTTCAATCATCCTTATCCTAACCTGGAATCATACAAATATAAAGATTAATATGTATCAACATCAAAACTACTCATCTAAACCAAGTATTGGAAAACAAAACCGTTGTCAACTGCTTTTCGTAAACATGACATCGGGAATAATGTGCACATGGAACAAATTGCCAACCATGAAAGAACATATACATGTACTGATGATTGGTCTCTCACACAATACCAAAATGGCAATATACTTGTAATAATATGGATAGTGTGAACTATCAATTCCACCTGACACTAGTAACATTATAAGTTGAAAATATCGAAGCATACTCATTGGCTGTGTACATTGCTCAACATCATAATTATGATGAAGATTAAACAAGGGAAGTTACCTCTTATTTTCTTAGTGTGAGTATGTAGATACATCATAACATTGCACCAAAGGGACTTTGGCCTAGCGATACCTTGTAACCCAACCTTCTTAGAGGTCAAGGGTTTTTTGTAAGGGTGTCCAAGCTATGCCTGGACTAATCCCGGCAAATTGTGACTGCAAGAAATCAGCGCTGATAAACTTGGTGGCCAGAATTGTTGTGTACGCCTGGAATCAAACCTATTCCCTGTGCAGATGGGATATTCCACCGCATTCCCCAGGACCTCAACCACTATGCCAAAGCCCTTGTGGTTTAGAGGTCAAGGGTTTAAGTCTCGCCAACGGCGAGATGTGTTTGTGTGTGTGTGTGTTTAACTTGCCGTACATAAATATTATATACTTCAAAAAAATTAACAAGGGAAGTTACCTCTTGATCAGACTTCTCGTTTTCAAATTTAGGATAGAATGTTGCTCGTATTTTGGCAGTGGAGTATGTAAAATTATCTACAGTGAAATTCTCCAACAGATTTTGTCTAAACAACTTGCTCAAAGCAGCAGTTTGAGCTGCATTTTCCTGTCTGGTAGTTGCAGTAGTAGTAGTAGTTATTGCATCATCAGTTGTTGCACCAGACACCGTTCCATAAGACTTTGGTTTGAAGACATACTGTTTACCATGTAGATTAGCATTTTTTACTAGAGAACATCCAACTGAGACATGGGACTGTCCATTGCTTTGCCCATGAAGAGGTGCTATCTCATCCACACTGATACTCCCGAACTGTGGCACGGGAACGGGAGGCTGTGCATTGTTTTCAGCAATCCCAAGCCTATTAATTCCATTGGTGATAGACTCAGCAGAAGCTGCAGACTTAACCTCTGGTACATCAGAGGGCCCATCCATCTTGTCGCTGCCTGGCTTCTGAATCCACCTTTGTTCTGTCCTACCACCCCTTTTCTGGAATTATCAAATTGAGCCAATTAGTACCCTGATTCTAATATCAAGCCCACATGTATAATATGTGCCAAAAACTTAAAAACAAAACCATGCCGATTCATCTAAGAGTTGGGTTCTGCCGTTCTGGTGACTTGGTGAGAATGAAAGTTATGGTGAGAAGGTAAGAAGGAACCTCCACCCTTGGATCAATCCTAATCGAATAGAACCACTAGATCAATCAATTCCCTTCTAAATCACATTAATGGGTTGTTTCGGGATTGAAAGTGATCAAGGGTCCAAATCCGATCTTACACTTCTCACCTTGACTCCTATTCTCACACTATCCTTCGTCTCAATCTAATCTCTAAAATGTCATGATATGGAAAAGTGATCCACGCTGAGAAATTGATAAACCTCATACCAATTTTTCTAACCAGAAAAATAACCAACATAGACAACCCATACGCTAATCATTATGTTCTCCTCACCTGATCAATAAAAATTCAAATCTAACAAAAATTTACAGCAAAAACTTAGTCGGTAGCGTAACAGCTAAATTACACGAAGTGTAGGAGAGAATAAAAACAGAACACCAATCACGTCACTCTTTACAGAGAACAGTTCGATTGTTAATTAAGAAACAAATACATAATGATAGTATGATACGCTCTTTGAACATCTTATTAACTCGATCAAATGAAACCTAATAACTTTTCTTACAAAAGTCCGCAAACAAAATCAACCAAAAACAACACATAAACACGTCAATACACGAAATACCTGGTTATGCGGCATGATTGAGCTGAAATTTGAGATGTTAGAGATGACAATAAAGCTATGGCGATGAATGAATTGCCGAAAGTGGAGGCGAAAGAAGGTGAAGCTCTTTGAAGAAGTAATCGAAGGTGAAAACAGAGGAGAAGAAGAGAGTGTACGAGTAGAAGTGAAGGCGCGGCTGGATGCCGACATTCATGTGGAAATTAGGATGGAAGTGGTCACTGTGAGCTAGGTGTGGCAATCTTGTTTTTGTAGTTTATATTTTAGATTAAAAAAATAATATTAAATTAAAAAATCCATGTGACTAACAACCTCAATAAATAATATTGAGTTGGATACTATATTATTCGTCGTATCAATATAATAACCGGTTATCCGATTATTTAAGTGTTTAAAACTTTACATCTTATGTACTAAAATAAAAGTTTTTTAAAATACGTTACCTAAAATATGAATCAAGTTAAAGTACGTTTATTTTTTCATGCAATTTAGTCTTTTTATAAATTTCTTAAAATCAATAAATTTGATTATAATTTATAAATCATATTTAGTTCTTTTATAATTTATAGTTTTTCCTTGTAGATTTATTAAACCTTGACCAACCATGCCACACGAGTCCTGCCCCACCCCTCTCCATAGGTGGGGATTGTTGGGGACATGTAGGGCCATATGTGGGGGCAATGGGTGGTAGTTATGACGACTATAGTGGTAGGGTGGTGGTTAGTAGTGGGAGAGGGCGGGACGATGGGGTGCGTAGGGGTAGGTGGCGGGGTGGTAGTTGTGACGACGATAGTGGTGGAATAGTGGTCGGGTGGTTGGGTCATGGGAGTGGGTGGGTATGACGACAACAATAGTGCATAGGTGTTTAGTGGTAGGTTGGGGTAGGGTGCAGGTAAGTGGCGGTTGTGAAGGCGACAATAGTGGTGTGGGGGTTCGGTTATGAGCGAGGTGGGGGCGGCGAGGATGGGTAGTGGGGGTGGTAGTTGTGACGACAACAGTGGTGGGATGGTGGTCGGGTGGCTGAGAGTGGGTGGTATGACGGCGACAGTAGTGGCATGGTGGGAGTGGGGTGAGTGGCAATTACGACGAAAACAATAATTGTGTGGTGTGGGGTTAGATTAAGGGTGTGACAGTAACGGTAGTAGAGATATGCACTGAGTGACGGGGGTGGGTGTGATGACAATAGTAGTAGCATGGTGGTTAGTGGTGAAGTTGGGTGGGTGGCAGCAACAGTGGTGGTGGGGAGGGGGTTAGGGATGGGACATGACAAATAATAGCGACATGGTCGTGGTGGTTGGTGATGGATTTCAATTCCTCCAATCATGTCAATGAATGATGAATTCATTAATTTATGGAATTCATTGAATACAATATTTTGGTTATAGATTTCAAAGAAGATCATCAAAAACAAAACAACCCTATGGGAGAAACCCCGTATTTGACATAAATACATCAAATCCACCTTTTCTTATACATTTAATTTTGTTCAAAATTTTCAACTCTTCACCAATGTGAAATATCTCAAACTCAACCACAACTCACCAACACCTCAATACCCAATTCTCATTATGCCATCTCAAATACTCATGGTTCTTCTTTTAATATATATATGCACTATAAATAAAATAATTTGGCTTGTTTGGTTTCCAACCATGGTTATAGATTTCAAACAGGATCATCTGAAACAAGACAACCCTACGAGGCAAACCCCATTATTTGACACAAAGACATATAATCTACATTTCTTATACATTTCATTTTGTTTAAATCTTTCAACTCTTCACCAACGTGAGATATCTCAAATTCAACCACAATTCACCAGCACCTCAACACCCAATTCTCACGATGCCACCTCAAACACTCATGGTTCTTCTTTTAATATACATATAGATAGTTTCAAAGCTCGACCCGATCATGTATGCGAAAAATCCAAAATTTTAAGTTTTTATCAATTATAATACAAGTATTTTTAGATCTTCTTTTTCAAAAAAATTAAGCATATATTTAAAGTAGATTTCAGTATTAAATTTAAAAAATGGTATTTACAAAATTATCAATAACATTTTTGTGTAAAAAGAATAAGATAAAACATATATTTTTAAAAATCAGGCCGATCCCCGGACCAGACTGAAGACAAGTCCGATAGAACGAACACTCCAGATCTAACACCGGTTATAGGGTATTTAGCCAAAACCCCGCTACTCTACTCCGAAGGAAGCGATCGGGTCCAACCCTGCACAAGACTCATTTTTGTCTCTTCCGGACCAGGAATCGAGATCTGGACCAATTACCACGAGTTTTGTACATGAAAAACAGGATAGGTATTTTTGATCGAGATCTGGAACAATTACCACGAGTTTTAGGATTTTTAATCAAGACCGGGTTACCCGATTTTGAGGGAAGCAACTTGGTCCCGTCCCTTCCCAAGACCCTTTTCTATCTCTTCCGGACCAAGACCGATTATGGGGATCGGGCTTTGTACATAAAGAACGGGTCTAGTGTTATTGATTAGGATCGGGACCGATTACCATAGGTCCGATTCGAAAAGGTAAATCTCGGGTCGGGACGGATTTGATTTGGATCCGGCCCGAAAGATGGTCGGACCAAACGCTTTTGGGGCGAGGCCCGAACCGGTTGCTACCGAGTTTGGTTACTAGAGAAAGCACAAGCTTTTCCCGCCTTCATAGGTCACCCACTAATAACCACAGAGGTATGGCGAAAGGTGGGAATGAGAAAAATGGCCGATCGTCGGCAAATCAAACAAATCCTGAAGCAGAAGAACGGAAAAGACTCAGAAAACTCGCAATTTCAAAGAACTTACTCTCTGAATTTCCGGCGAAAGCTTCGTCACTGTCTCTAAACCCCTCCAAGACAGTGATTAAACATCACGGTAGAGACATACTCAGGAAATCAAACCGGAAGAATCGGTTTCTATTCTCATTTCCGGGGTTACTTGCTCCGGTTTCCGGCGGAAAGGTTGGCGAGCTCAAAGATCTCGGCTCCAAAAACCCTATTCTCTACCTCGATTTTCCCCAGGTTTATTTAGTTTTTTTGTTACAGTAATTTTCTTTCCGTTTATGCTTATGATATTAAACTGGATAGCTTTGGAGGTTGAATGTTGTGGGGGGTCTATGAGTCCTCGTGATCAGGTAGGAATTGGTAAATGTGAAAAATGTAATGCATAGTGAGGAGATGCTCTCGGGAAGTAACGATTCAATTGTATAACGAAGAGAAATCATCTAAATCCGTATTTGTTTATCCTGTTTTATGATCACTTTATGGCATGTATGTATGGTTATGATTTTGTGCCCATGATTTACCCTCCACTTGTAATTGATGTATTGATATGGAAAATGTCATGTTATCTTTGTCTTTCTGATGATTGCTTCTTGGTTGAGATCATTGGGATTTGTTTTAAAACCGCTGGGTCTTTGTGGCGACATGTGAGAATTCTTGGTCATGCAAAATTACTTGCTGTGCTAATCTTGACCAACTCATGTTTTGAGGTTGGTTTTATTCAGACTGAGTTTGTTTCTGCTTGATCATGATTTCATAGCTTGATCTTGGAAGCATACAACTTGGGTGAGTATTATATCGAGTTGGGTATTCTTGGGGATTCTTTAGATCAGTTTTGGCAGTGATACCTAGTTAGGTTTACTTTTGGCATTGCTTGGTGGTCAAGACCCTACAACTTGTTTTGGATTATGTTTTTTTGACACAGATGAGTGACTTACTTCAAAATGCATACTTTAGACTTGTTCCTAGAAGTATCAAACTCGTGTCCTCATTTACCAAGCCGGTGATGTTCAAGTTTAGGTCCATATGGATAGGAGCATGTAACTCTCTACGCTGGGTTGGGGTAGCTTAGTCATGTTCAATGTCTTCATAGATTAGGTCTTTTTGCTACCTCATTCAATCTTGGTTTTGACTTGGCTAAGGTAGCGTATCCATGAAAAGGCTTCCCAGCTTGTCTTATTTTGGGGTGCCCAGGAACATAATACTTTTAGATGGCTCTAAAGAAAGAACTACAGGAGCTGAAGTTGATTCAGATAGAGAAGGGTGGTCATCATGAATACGATTTGTGGACATGAACATGAGAAGTAAGTGAGCTTGTTTGATGGTTTGCCGTTAATGCTAAGCATTGTTGGCTGTTTCACACTCTTTCTCTGTGATATCTGAATATGAGAAGTAAATGAGCATTTTTAAGTTTTGAATATTATCTGAATTAAAGGGGAGGACGGAGATGATAGACTAATTATCCGATTAATGCTAGAAGTAGGTTTAATTAGGTTTTTGTATGCTCAACTGTCTAGCAGATGGGCAGATTTAATACATCACACATTCGGAGTTCTTTTTTGAAGTGATATTGTGTGTTTTTTTCCAGCTTGTTTGGCAAGTTTATTTCCATACAGGTGGGGATAATAGTTTGGACTTTGGTGTTGTGGTGGATATGTCTAAATCATGGTATGACTTGTACTCCTATCTTCTGTTTGTAGGGCCGGATGAAGTTGTTTGGGACTATTGTATATCCCAAGAACAGGTACTTGACGCTGCAGTTTTCTAAAGGTGGGAAGAACGTGATGTGTGAAGATTACTTCGATACCATGGTTAGTGGTTGTATATTTTTTTAATGCTGCTCCTCGAAATGATTTAAAGGTCTAGTATTTCTCTAACCCTCTTGAAACGTGTAAAAGTGTTTTACCTCATCTTTTTGAAGCTCTCCCCCCAGGTTTAAGTCATGGGCCTTCCTTTAAATATATAATATGCAATTTTTCATCTTTCCTTATTTTTGGAAGTATCAAAATCTTGCGCACTATGGTATCTGCATCCTGGTGTCATGGGAATTGTTTGTCTACGATTTTGGGAATGTGGTTAATCACCCCATCACACCCCCAAAGAACCACATCTCCAAAACTCCTTTAATTACGAGACCAGCAGACATCAAGACACAACAGTGAAAATCCACATCACCATCATATCAACTACCTTGTCAGTAACCTGTGCAGATTTGTAAACCTACATAGCGTTTGTAAACGCGTGACGGAGTGAGTCGCAGTGAAGCAACACCTGTTTGTTGGTGGCAAATGGTGAGCACTGGCAGCTTGGCTCTTCTGGTTTATTTGGTGGGTCCATCCAAGGTTGTAACAAGGAAAAATGGGGTTCTCTGAAGCTGTGTTTAGTCTATTAAACAAGACTACACTAATTATGTACAAAGTGGACCAATGGTTTGATTGAAGAGAAACCCTAAAAACTACTTAAAAGGTAAAGTACATAGTAGAATCACATAAGCATCTGATATATCAAACAATAATTCCTCAACCTCAATAGCAAAGAGATCGCCTAGAAACTTCAATTTTGAGTCAAGATGTAATAGGATATGATTTTCCAAGTGTATCCATCATTTTTGGGACTCCATCTGCATCCTGCTGTTGTTGGGGGCTAGATTTTTCAGCTTTAAGGTCATTCATTTAATAAACTATCATATTTCCAGTCATTTTCTTCTAATGTCGTTTTTCATCGGTGCTAGTAGTAATCTTTTTCTTCAATCCCCAAACAAGTGCTCTCTTTTCCTTTGGATGTTTCAAGTCAACTTATTTAGGGAAGTACTTTTGAGGTTGACATTTACCCAATTCTTTCTTTGTAGGTGGAGATTGTTATTAAAAATGTTTGTTGCATTTTTTCTCGCTATTGTGCAAACAGCATATTTAATAAGCATGCAGGTCTAATGAGGACCAATTATTGGGAATAAGGTTATATATATTATTCATCGTTCTACTTCTTCAGATTGTATTTTCTGATGCATGGTGGATTGGATCCAAGGAAGCGAATCCAGAAGAAATCCAACTCAGCTTTCCAGAAGACATGAATATGGTCAGTTCTCGTGTGAGATGATTATATTTATGAGCTTGTTGATATAATGATTTGTTGACATTAGTTATTCTTTTCCTTGTTCTTAAGAAAGCGTGTGTGAGTTTTGGTAGTTTAATCTTTCTTCTTGTTATTTATATCTTGTTCATGTTTACCTTCATCTTGTTAGGGTTATCCTTATCTTCAAAGCCTTTCTTGTACCTATTTAAAGGGGCTTCTTCTTACTATAATGAACACAATTCCTTTTTACCTACAGTTACATGGTATTAGAGCAGTCATCTCTTGGTAATCTCTTTGAGTAAATTAAAGAACGAAAATATTTAGCCCTTATTTTCATAGCCTTTCTTGTGGGTTTCCATCCTTAAGAATAAAGCAATTCTCTTTTAGCAACAATTTTGCAAATCAAATCTTGGACATAGTGTTGAGATATTTCTTCTTGGTGACAGGAACAGCAAAATGAGTATGATTTCAAAGGCGGTGCAGGTTCAACATGTGAAAGAATGCAAGGAGTAGACCAAATTAGAGCACATGAACCAGATCATGAATTTTCTGACAGTGAAAATGATCCAAACGATTTGATTCAAACAACTGCAACTAGGCACTCATCAAGGATTTCTGGAAAATCATTAAAGTACGTATCTTCGTTTTATTTTGAATAATTTTGTGTTTATGCAAATTATTACAGGGATGACAAGAGTTCTTGTAGAAGTAATGAATGACAATCATTTATGTTCCCCTAAAGCATATACTGATTATGCTGGAATGGTACATGCGAGCATAACAGGCAAAGATGTTTGAAAGACCTAGGAGGATTGAGCAAGTGTGCAATGCTGTATCATTAATCATGGTAGTCTTGTTAATTTTTATTGTCACTCAAATATAGTTAAGCTCATTTCTTACCATAATATAGACGTCTTTATTTAGTACTTACATGTAAATTGATGTAAGTGCATCAAAGTTGGAATCTAAGAGCTAGAGTTGGTTGGATATTTTAAGAATTGCATAGAATGTCATGATATTGCTCATGACTGAGTCTGAAAGCTTACAGATTTATCTAAAAATGCAGAAAACTCAAGATTTCACAGCCCTATGGTCAAAAGTTAGAGTAAAATTGCCACCTTTCACCATTGTTTTTGAAAGATGAATGGTGTAATTATATGAAGAGAGAATCCGTAATAGCTCACATGTTTTTCCTTCAAAGGAAGTGATTCACAATCATCTATTAATGGTAAAATTGATGATTCCTATAGATTTGACCAATCATATATCGAGAATCTCTCAAGCTCCGTTACCGGCCTTTCTTTGGTGTTGTTGTGGTGGCTTCAAGATGGTCGGAACTAGGGACAAAGGCTTTTCTTTAGTTTCAATTTCGACGACATTGCAAGTGTCATGTTTCTGTTTGGAATTAGCTTTTGTTCTATCATGATGAAGATTGCATTAGATTTTTGGTCTCACTTATTGTCAAGGAGTTCCTTCAGCTATTTGAGTCTCTAACCATTGTTTTTGGACCAACGTCAAGTAAACGAGGGTTGTCGCTGCTGGAATCAGGGGGTTTTATCGGTTCAATTCATTCTCTCAAAACCAATCACCTCTGAACTATGATGGTTTTGGCTTTATCCCTCTTTATTTTTGCCCTTCTACCTTGTCTTGACGAGGTTTTAGTCGTCTCTAGAGTTGCTATGAAGGTGTCGAGTGGAAACAATTGCAGGTTCTCGGCTTCAATGGTTCAATGACAAGGCAGTGGCTGACTGGTTGGGACATTTTTTTTTTCTGTCATCTGTCATTTGTTCATCTAAAAGGGTTTAAGGTTCAAGTTCTCAATCAGTCTTAGTTGCAAGGATCAAGCTTTATCATCTTGGAAGGGTAGTTGTTAAAGTCCTTACTTGAACTATTAAAGGCTGTTTTTTTATCGTTGTGGCAGTTTTTCAATTGTGCAAGGTTGGGAGGTCTAAGGTTTGACAATCAGTTGTATGTTTTAATTTGAAAGCAGCTTGTTTTTTCATCAAGCATTTGTATCTTTAAACTTCGATTTCTTGAATTCCCCACATCAATCCGAGTTCATTTTTTGCCCAAAAAAATCTGCAGCAACGACCAAATCTACCACTATTTTTACATGTAGAAAGGCGTTTGAGTTAATACACATTCTTTCTTCTTATAATTACACTCTTCCAAAACAAGAAACATGATAACTTTATATTTTTCATTAGAAGTCATCTTATCTACTATATAACATACTTCACATGAGTGGTATCATAGTATGTTAGGCTAGGAAACAGGATGACTTATCCAATCTTAGTTGAAAGTATCATATAATATAGCTTGCTCTTATTTCTTTTCTTTGCTCTCCTTCTTCTTGGCCATTTTCAAATTTCATTCATCCCCTAACAGCAAATGGTATCTTGAAGTTGCATCTTTGCTCATATTTACTAAGGATCTTTCCTGGCATAGGGCTGCAGTATCTTCTTCTGCAGACGATGCATTTGATTTGGATGTTAAGACCAAATCTTCTGATGGGGAAGAAAATGAAATTGGTGGAAGTACAATCAGGTATCTAACTTCTGAAAACATTTGGATTCTTAAGCTACTCATTTGAAATCTTAGATTAGTCGATAGAGAGCCAAACAATTGCACCTAGTTTCAACTTATTCGTCTTACTTGATCTTAGGGGCCATTTACCAAACACTTACCCAGGTAAGCGCTTACCAACTACCAAGTCACATTACCTTACTGGATGAATATGGTAAGGACCAAAAATCTTACCCGGTAAGAACGAAATTAGGACCAAGAGTCTTACCCGGTAAGTGAGGGCGATGACTCTTACCACGGTAAGCGCCTTACCGGGTAAATTGTTGCATACGGTGCCGTTTTGGTGGACTAAAATCTTACCCGGTAAGTAAATGACAGTGTTAAATTTTACCGGTAAGTACTTATCGATTAAGTGTTTGATAAAAGGCCCCTTAGTGTTTAAGTGACAATTGACATTTAGTTATTTACATAAATTATTTCATGTAGACTTTAGCAACAAAATTCTTGCTCCAATCTCATTTTTAAATCTGTTATGAGGTGTCGGCTGATTTGTTTTTTTACAATAGATGGAGACTGAACTTTTGCTATGTTCCACAGTGGCGGTAAGGATGCTATTGAAACAGAAGTTACTAAAGTTTCTGAACAACTTTCAGAAATTAGTACATCGGCAATAAAATTGAAGGAGGTTTCTCATAGTAATCACGGTTCTCTTGTTCAGGCCACTATATCTACATTATTCAAGAAAAAAGAGGAAAAGGTCCAGCTTTAAACCATGAAATCTTATTACTCACTCCATCCCGTAGTAATCAGTATCTGCAAGAATTATGATATTTGACTCTGTGCAAGATTAAATAGAAGCATTTAACCTGTCTGTAAATGTCCCAAATACTTATCAAGAAATTTCAACATTAATTTAAGTAAATCTAGTCAACCGGAATGACTCATAACTACTATCGCAATGACTACTAGAGGGCAAATACATGATTTAACTTGGAATTTTTCCGGAAAGGGAAATTCAGTAATTCTTGTGGGTTGTCCTGAAAAGGAAAATATTGCAATTTTTCTGGTACATGATAAAGGAATTCAGTCACTAAATTACAAAGCACCCATTTATCCGTTTCCAACTATACCCTTCAGACAAAGTTCATGTTTAGTGAAATAAAGGTATTCTTGTGGGCCATATCTGAAAGGAGCATAATTATCTTGAATACCTCTCAAAATGGGAAGTAGCATGCGTACTGGGCAAGAAGGGAACGTTTAATTGCAAAAATGCCTCACTTTTGTAATTAAGTGCCATAATGGGAAAACTCATACTTGGGGGTTGTTTGGTTGGTTTTTCATTAAGGGCTGTATGGATAAAGTTGTTTGTGTGGATTAATCTATCTGTATAGATTGGGAAGGTTTTTGTTTGGAAGGGTTTTTCCATAGATGGAATGAGCATGTTTTTTATTGGGAAGGGAAAGTTTAGAAATAACTTGGTTTTCTGAAGCTCCCCCTAGAAGCTTACTGAATAAGCCACTTTCTATATCGTTAAGCCACTACCAAACAGTCATGTATAGCTGACCAAGTAAGTTGTGAGTACCATTAAGCTCATTAAGCTACTAACAAACAGGCCTTTATACTGCTGCTTCATATGCATAGAAGAAACAAACAGAGGTGTATTCATTTATTCCCATAATAAACCAAACCAATCCAATTGGACCTAGTGAATACCATGCAACGTGGGGTCTGGGAAGGGTAATATCATATGGTCTTTTAGAAAATTATTATTGGTGGCCTCTACTGTAAATCATATGGACAATTCTTGACTGTATTGACCGAACTAGAGGTTCCAGATCAAGCTTTATCCACTTTGATGTAGGATGGTATGCTATTAAGTTTCACAGTGAGTGAGAAGCAGAAGAATATGAAAGGCAAGAGAGAATGCTTATCCTCACAAGACCTTGGCTGAGATCCAAACTCTCCCAAAACAATCATAAATGCTTTATATTCTTGATGAGGATGATCAACATGTAAATGTATATGTGTGCATGTGTAAGAAGACATTTTGGAATAGGAAATTATAGGACTAGGAACACTTAGGGGCTGTTTGGTTGGTTTTCCATTAAGTTCTGTATGGATAAAGCTGTCTATTTGGATTGATCTATTGGTATATAGGAAGGTTTTTGTTTGGGAGGGTTTTTTATAGATGGAATCATGGAAGGAGCTTGTTTTTTAATTGGGAGTGACAGGTTGGAAAAAAACTTGGCTTTCTGCATAAAGCTCCCCGTATAGCTGACCTAATAAGTTGTGCTTCCCATTAAGCTACTTTTTATATCATTAAGCCACTACCAAGCAGTCATGTATAGCTGACCTAATAAGTTGTGCTTCCCATTAAGCTCATTAAACTGCTTACAAACATCCCTTATTATACTCTAAGAAATACATCCAAGGATAAAGATATACAGGTAATGGGTGTCTGATAGCTGTAGATCTCCTTAAATCTATTTAACCAATGCTAGAATCTAAAATCCACAATTATTGAGAAAAGTAAATATATGTTTAGCTTTGTGTAACAGTATGATTTGAATATAATATTTGCCTAAGCTCGCTACTGTTGCCAAGTCCCCAACATTAAGCATCCACTTATACATTGTCAAACTTGCTTGAATATGGGTAACCCCTTTGGTATTCAATGTGTAATCGTATATAAACAACACATCCCTATGATCCTTATGCATTCAGCACTTGGTCATCTCATACAAACTATTTTCGATCAATATTTCCACCGTATCTTTCTGAATAGTTTCCTGTGTACTTACCCCTAGATCAAATGTTAATTGCCAATGACTTGTTCTAATAAACTTACGATGTTTACAGATGGCAATAAACACATCAACACCCCCAACATCATCAAAAGGTTTCTTTGCTCTATACTTTTAACAACATTAAATTGGTCACAACATGAATCGCTAAAAATTATCAGTTTATTCTAGTTTCTAGAAAAAGATTGCAGGAGCCACGATCAGAAGAGAAGGTTGATCAAAGTAAAGTGAGAACCACTTCTCTCTCTCTCTCTCTCTCTTCACATCTTATGTATCTCCTAATAATCTCTTTGTGTTTAGATGTAATTGAAATGAGCCAGCAATGTTTTTGCAGGTAAGCGGAGCAAGGCAAAAGGGAAAAGCACTTGAAGAAAGAAAAATTGGTCTCTTCTTTCTTCCGCCCTCCATCTCCCCCTATCTCTTAGGGTTGATCATTTGCAGGCCTCGGTCGGGTCTAACCTAATTTTCTTGTCTAACGGGCCTAATATGGCAAACCCAAGGCCTTTTTACAGGCTTGAAAACTTGTCCATACCCACCCTAATAAACGGGCCGGGTTGCCCATGGGCTAACGGACCTAGAATCTTCTAATATTTTTAAGAAAACAAAACTTATATAAATCACAAGTTATGTAAAAGAATTCAAAATACATAACAAGTTTTCCAACTTAAAGTCAGATGTAAACACATAACAATGTACATAATTTAGAAAAAAAATTGTTTCGCAATATACAAAGTACTGATAAAGGAAATGACCAAATGACATAATAAGGAATTGATCTATTGAGCTAAGTATGTTTTTTACTTTTTAAATTTTCAAAGAGTGCTATTATTATGAGTCATAATTAAGGGGGAATTGATAAGTATCAAGAATTTTCAATTCTATTTGTAAATTATAATTATAGAAGTTTATTATTGTAAAAATATTAACGGGCCGGGCATGCCTGGCGGGCCTGCTCAATTTCTTTTCCATCGCTCATGCTCACCCATTAACTTTAACAAGTTAGTCCGGGCCCGCCTAATTTTTCTAGAATGGTAATCCAAGCTCGCTTTTCTAGCGGGCCGGATAGGGCGGTTTAGCAGGTCATGTCGCCCGTGAACAACTCTCTCATAAGAAACTCTTTATTGTTGTCTTTTGTGAATATTATATCATGTCTCAGATTTCTAGATATCCCGCCTTTATAAACAAGTATCTTTTGACGAATACCAAGCACAAATGGAGAGGAGATTCACTAATAAAGATATGGATTACACCTTGTAAGCTGAAAAGTTTTGTTTTATAATCAAGTACCATAACATATAATTCTTAAACAAGGGACCATGAAGTAGAGAATGATTTAAAGAAGCTAAATGAATGTCCTATAAAATTCTTTAGACTCTTCAAATTAAATATAAAGGTCACTATCAATATATTTGTGCTAGAAGTTTGTAACTTCTCAGTATCTCGGTGGTCGGAAAAATTGAACTCTAGGAAAGGGTCAACTGCGGCATTGGTGCATTGCAGAAATGAGGTGGTAGCTCTTTTTGGAGTCAGTGATGATCGCTATGTAACAATCACTTGGATAGAAAAGTAGATTTGTGAGCCCCTTATAAGCTCAAAGTTGTGGGCTACCAGTAACTTCCAGTCTTCCACCATGGTTTTAAGTTGAATTCGAAGTTATTGGGCCCGCCCGCTGCTTTGAGCTTGGGGTGTTACACGCTACGCTAACCCTTTGGGGTTTAAAGTTTACCTACTTAAAGGGACTAATGGAGACATAATGACAGACATATATGTAACTAGCAATAGCAAATACCAAAAATGAATTCCTGATAAATAATGGAATGAGGCATGTTTTAAAAATCGTTTTGAGGCATACGCCTCGAGGCAGACCAAAACCTGAGGCATCACCTCTTTGGACCCTGGACGAGGCTTACGCGTTGGTTCGGTGAGGTGTGAGGCAGTGTTGAGGCGTACGCCTTAGATGATATGCTTTGGTAATGGTTTTTTTGGCTTTTAAATAAGCTTTATGGCAGTAGTAGTACTTCTCTTTATAGTACAAGTGTCCTTTTTCATTTTAAAAAACCAATGACCCCAATGTTTACTTTTAATATTTTAAAACCCAAAAAGCTAGTACTTTCTCCTCTCAATGGGGAAAGTGTGGTTTGATCTTCCTCTTCCTCCAAGCAACCATGTTTTCCGCATCCTCTCAGCCTATATCACAGTTTCACTCTTTTCTCTATCAAAAACCACTAAACCAGTGCCCATAGTAATTTAGTATTATATATTGTATATAAATGTGTGTATATATATATATATATATTTGTGTAGTATATGTACATATGCTGGTGTATATATATTTCTGCCTCGGATTGCCTCGAGGCTTACGCTTCGCCTCGTTGAGGGAAAACACCTTGAGGTCCGATTCCACCTTTTAAAACCTTGGAATGAAGGAGTCTAGATTTTTCAAAACTTGTTTATGTACTTTGTTGACTGCTATTTGTAGATGTTCATCGTTCTAATTTATTGGTATGTTTCTCTCGCTTGTAGCTACAAGATCTACCCCAAGGAAGAAACAGCCTAAGGTATTCTTATTTGAGTACTTATAATGATTACTTGCCTGAAATCATTATCTTTCTTATTGAACTTCTTTCACTTGATTTATCATTCTGGATTTTAGCATTTGAAACACTGAATGTCATTGCTATTGTTGTTGGTAGCACCTGGCCTTTTGTGGAGGTTGCATGGAAATTCTTGTGAATATATTTTCTTTATCTTTTTGCTACTTAAGCTTTGTTTTATTATTTCTGCTTTTGTTTTCAGTTTCATCTGTTTATTACGGAGTGTTCTTCCCAACCTTTGCTATTATGTACTAGAACTAAAAGATTTTATCAATCACTTGTATATACTCTCATAATCACCTCTTTTGTCTAATTTTAATAAAATAAACCAACATAAATCACTAATATAATGTTGAGATGATTAGTATTCTCTGTCAAGTTCTTTTTCATGTTCTCTTGTCCCAAATTGATCATATTTCTCTCTCTCTCTCTCTCTCTATATATATATATATAATTGTTCTCGGGTTCAAAATAGAACAATGACCAAATAAGAGAATACAAAAAGGGCCAAATCATGTGTAAAATCACATGTGATTAAGTGTGACCTAATTCGCGGGCCAAGTAGCTCGTACACCCTTGCATTGACCATTTTTTGTAATCCCATGTGATTTCAATGCAAAATCACACATTATTTGTCCTTTCTCATGTTCTCTTATTTTGACCCTGTTCTCGTTTGATCCTCCCTCTGTGTGTGTGTGTGTGTATATATATATATATATGTATAATCACGTGTAAAATCACATGTGATTAAGCGTGACCTAATTCGCCGGCCAAGTAGCCCGTACACCCTTGCATTAACCATTTGTAATCACATGTGATTTCAATGCAAAATCACACATTATTTGTCCTTTCTCATGTTCTCTTATTTTGACCTGTTCTCGTTTGATCCTCCCTCTCTCTGTGTGTATATATAGACACACACACACGAAGGATCGTGTGAGAATAGGAGTTAAAGTGAGAAGTGTAAGAAGGGATTTGGACCCTTGGATCACTTTTAATCCCAAAACAATCCATGAATTGCGCTTTAGAAGGAATTTATCTAGTATATCTCATTAGTGGTGATCTAGTGGTTCTTTTCTATTAGAATTGATTCAAGGGTGGAGATCCGTTCTTACTCTTCTCACCATAACTTTCATTCTCACCAGAACCCAACCCTGTATATACATATAGTTAGTGGGAGGTTCAAATAAGAAGGCTAAATATCATGAGAAGGTAAGAAGGGTAGGTTCATATGTGAATCACCGAAAAAATCCATTTGAAGATGCATGTGTGAACCAGTATGAATAATTATAACGTTGGTTCACATATGCTTTTTCAAATAGATTTTTTCCCGATTTTTTCAATGATTCACATATGAAACCTTTCCTTCTTACCTTCTCATAATATTTAGCCTTCTTATTTGCAACGTCCCCTATATATAATTGGTAAATATACTACTTGAGTATGTAGTTGAGTAGGCTGTAAAAATATAGTGATGTTGTTACCTAATTTGCCCATAAACTTTCTATATCTTCCCCTTAGTTGCTTAAATGCAATATTTCTATTCTGTTTGACAAAGTGTTTATATCCTTAGGTTTCTGATGACGAAATCGAAGACATATCAGATCCATCACAGGTAAGATTTGCTGCTAATTAGAAATTATAACATCCAGAATTTCTAATTAATGTGGATTTTGCTTAATCGTTCCATGATCAGATCTGAAATCTGATTATTTCATGCCTTAACACATCATTTTCATGCATTGCTTGTATGCTGTTACATTGGATTTATTAGCGTATCTTCGGGGCCGTTTACCCAATGCTTACCGGGTAAGTGCTTACCAGCAAAAGTCACCATCCTCACTTATCTTATCAGGTATCATTCTCGGCTATCAAATGGGATTTTGTTGGTAAGTGTCTTTTATCCATTAAGCGTTTACGAGGTAAGAGTCTTTTTCCTCACTTACCCTGTATCCAGTAAGCGCTTGGTAAACAGCCCCTTAGTACTAAATGTCGGCCCTTATTTGATGAAATAATATGTATAAACACTGAGAAGCAAGGATACTAGTATCGGATGTGCGTGTGATATACCGTTTCAAGTTTCATGTATACGTGATAATGCAATTTGTGTGATTGCAATGCATATTTAGTGCTCCCTCCATTCCAAAATAAACGTCCAAATTGAAAAAAAAAGGCACATATTTTTAAAAAATGTGTATACACTTTTGAATTAACTAAAAGACAATTTTACCCTAAAAAATTGAGGGAGTAATGAATTTCTCAACGTAATAATCAAGGGTAGAATTGGAAAGTATGCACTTTTGGGAGTGGACACTTATTTTGGAACAAACTAAAATAAAAATATAATACTTATTTTGGGATGGAGAGAGTTTTAAAATTTGCCAGTACTTCCCAACTTGCCGTAACTTGTCATGTTTGTTTCTTGAGCAATTGGCAAACATTGAGTTCATTCTCTTCCCGCCATGCTTTATTTACGGTTTGCTTCGTATTTGAAGATGTAAAGCAACAGTATGTATTTTTGGTCAAATTTGTTCTAATTTTTTGGATTCAACTCATTTCCATCATATATCAAACCATGTGTGCAGGACTCAAGTGATGAAGAGTGGGGTGCTTGATATATTAAGTTCCCTTCTAGAAGAGATTTCTCGAGCTGACAGACTCGAATAAACCGTCAACGAAATTCTTGTATCTGCTATTCATTCGGAATCCATCTGAAAAAGAAACCCGTTTTCTAGAGTGCTCGTGAATCTATCAGGAAAGCTTTTCGATGTTTAGGATAGGAGTCGAGAGCAACGGACGAAACTGTATGTGTATGTTTCTCTTGTGCACGACTTAAATGATACCGAAACCGTGGCGCAAGAAGTGTTTTTCATGTGTTTGATGTATGTCTTTGTTTTTGTCGGGTTTTTTAATTAGTTTTTGACGTTCTGCTTTAAAATATATGTGATCGATTGTATACGACCGAGCGGCTCTTTTGCAGTTAATCAATGACGTGGAATTGCCTATTGAAATTCTTTCAAAGCACCTAAATCGGGAATGATCGGGCCCGATCATTGTCGGTTCTTTTACAAGCGGTCCTAGTCGTATTTGGTCCGGGTCTTTAATGGGTTCCTCTCGAAAAGAATCGTAACCATAAAACTCGATACAAGTATTGCTTACGAGAGATAGATGATTTATTATTATTTCCATCGATAACGATATTTGAATTTATATGTTTAGGATAGAGAAATAATATTTTCTTAAATGGCAAATTGCATGAAAAGATAATGTACTATAACTTGATTCATATTTTGGGTAACAGAGTATTTTTAAAACTTTTATTTTGGTACCTAAGATGTAAAGCTCTAAACATTTTAAGTATTTTGGTAACCAGTTGAAGTATTAACCGGTTACTATGCTGATGTGGTATTCAATTCGGTGTTATTTGTTATTCAACCCAATTTCATCCCATAACTAGTCATATCAGCATATTAACCGGTTATCTGGGTACTTAAATGTTTAAAACTTTAGATCTCAGATACCAAAATAAAAGTTTTGAAAGTATGATACCCAAAATATGAAAACCAAGTTAAAGTACGTTACTTACCGAATATTTTAACAATATAATTAAGAGTAAATAATACTTTTCGTCCCTGTGGTTTGTTAATAATTACGATGTTTGTCCCTGTAGTTTAGAAATTATGATGTAATCCCTATGGTTTGCAATTCATTGTCATTTTTGTTTCAAGTACAAGAAACGAAAAAAACAATGAATTGTAAATCACATGTACCAAAGAAGAACAATAAGTTACACATCAAAAGGACGAAAATACTAATGAATTATAAACCATAAGGATGAAAATTACAACTTCTAAAACATATGAATAAAAATTGTAACTGTTTACAAATCACAGAGACGAAAAACATAATTTAATTTATAATGTTAAAAGTTACAACTTTCATCCCTATACTTTTAAAAGTACGATTTTAGTCTATACGGTTTGAAATTCACTGTTGTTTTTGTCTTTGAGACTAAGGGGTTGGTTGTTTACCTTTTAATACTTTCATTAAGAGACAGTCTTTGAATCACAAAGAGGTGAATTTTGATTGGCAAAAAAAATCTGCTCTTAACCACAAAGGTGGTGCCTGATTGGTTTGAGCTTGGCTCCAAAGGTCAAAAGTACCAGGAGGTTCCAGGTTCAAATCCAAGAAGGAATAAAAATCCCCTTGTGGCCACGGAGGTTCAAATGCAGTGACTCCGGGCTATCTGCAAAGCAGGTGGTCCTGGGATTAGTTGGCTCGCATAGCGGGTAGGATATCTAGGTTAATCACAAAAAAAAAAAAAAAAAAAAATTTGTCTCTTAATGATTCTAAAATCCTTCGAATGGTTTTGTATCTTATGCCTCCCTTAACCATTCAGCACCTTATTTTTATTTTGAATAATTACCAAATAATTATATTTTAAGAGCATCTTAATCATTCTGACCACTTAATCATTCTGCAGCAAACCATTTAACAACTGACAAACAACCCATAACTCCAACCGTTAAGTATGAGAGACTAAAACAACATTGAATTGTAAAACCATATAAATGAACACAACAGTGAGTTTTAAACCACATACGAAATCTGCAATTTTGAAAACACAAAAATAAAAAACAACAATTTTTAACAAACCATAAGAACGAAAAACATAATTTACTTTATAACTACATGTTCCTAAAATAAATAATCACATCGAAAAAGCCACACAATCTTAGAAACATGTAATTATTACACTTTTTAATTAACTAAAGAACAATAGTAGAGGAACCACACCAATCCATCCCGAACTTGGTGGTTAAACTCTATTGCGGTGACGATACTTTGGGTAACGTACTTTCAAAACTTTCATTTTGGTATCTAACATGTAAAATTTTAAACATTTAAGTACCCATGTAACCACTCGAAGACTAATTTTAGATTAAAAAAAGACTAATAATACATGTCATCAAATAATACTGAGTTGGATACCATATCCACATAATAATCAATTAATGCTTCAACCAGTTACCCGGATATTTAAATGTTTAAAACTTTATATCTTAAGTACCAAAATAGAAGTTTTGGAAATATGTTACCCAATATAAAAATCAAATTAAAATACGTTATATTTTTATGTAATTTGCTGTTAAAAAAACAGAAAAACAGAAATATAAATAATTAATTCGGAGTTTATTACATGGAAAAACTGAAAATGGAATGAATTTAAAGACTGAATAGAAAAAGCTACAAATCACAATCCGAGAAGTTGCTTTTTGGCCATGGCTTCTTCTTGCCCCACTTCTTTCCCTTTCTATTCACGAGCTTCAATTACACTCCTCTCTTCTATCTGAGTATGAACGGTTATACGTACGTAGTTTGAAGGTCCTTCCATGGCGGCAGTTACCGATTCGTCCCACATTTTACTCGTCTGTTGCCACGTCTGTCCACACAAGAGGTTCAGTAATTATTACTCTCTCGAACTCGGTGCTTCTTCTTATCCTTCTAGGGTTTCGTTTGATTCATCGTCGAGAAGGCGGCAAAAGGGGTTTTTGTTGTCTGTTAGCGGACGTGAGATTTCGGACGTTCGTGTCACTGATAGCAGCAACAATGTTCATCATACACGATCGGCATTTGTTGAGATACCTGTTACCTGTTATCAGGTTCACCATCTTTATTTCGGGATTAATTTCTGCTTTTATTCTTTGAAAAGTAGGTGTTGTTTTTTGGTGCCAAATTATCGACAATGTACCCTCATAATTACACGTATATTTTATGTTTTGTGAATATTAGATAGTGTACCGTAATTGTGGAATGGGAGCAGTATCATTTGGCTTGTTTCAATCCTAGTTTAGCTCTAGCCACAAGCAAAACAGGCAGCCAATTTTGAGGCTGCAATTAGTATCTTGTATTATTGGGTTTAACAGTTCAATACTGGGATCTATCAGTCTAGTATGAATAAATCGTGGTTCATACGGGGGATTTATTAGTTCCATGTATATTGCTCAGAAGTGAGTAGTTGCATTGGCCTTGTTTCTAATCCTAATTGGGAATGAGCTTTAGAGGGTAAAGTCTATGATGGAAATGCATATGAGATAGAAGAATGCCATTCTCTTTTAGATTCGGTGAATTTTCTCTAAATCTAGCATTTAATTTAAGGCTTACTTAACACAACTGCACATAAATCGTTGCTGCTAAGGTTGCATAGAGCTTGGGAAGTATAAGTCTGCGACACAAGGATAGTTTGGATTTCACCTTTGCAACTGGATGTTGTCGTGCTGCCAAAAAACTTGAATAATTTTGCAACTTGGTGAGTCTTCAGCTAGTCTGCTATTTTCAGGGCCTTGAAACTCTAGACCAGTGTAATGCGTAAGACTTGCAATCTTAAATCTCTTTCACCACATTAAACACCCCTTCAGAAATAGCATGAAGATCAAGAAATTTCACACTTTTTCAGTAGTATCACTGAAGTATCCTTACATTAATCTTATGTTGGTCGTAGGGTCTTGGAGTTGGTTTTTATCTTAAGGGTTGAACACTTAAACATAGAACATCAATATGTGTTGCTAATTTTGATTTGTGAGGGTAACCATTTTATTCTGGAAAACATAGATTATCACATACATCCTTATAGATGTCTATTTTTCTTTCATCCTGTTTGGTCTTTAGTATTTCCACCAACCACTAGTGAGGTCCCTTGGGTTGTCATGTGTGGAAGAGTAGGGTATTTGATATTTATAAGCTCGGGTTAGTTAAGATCTTATCATACTTATGTCACTTATAAGGAGTGTATTTGCAGATTCTTGGTATTCCTGATAAATCAGAGAAAGATGAGATTGTCAAGTCCATGAACCATCTAAAATTTGCTGAGATTGAAGAAGGGTACACCATGGATACTGTTGTTTCACGCCAGGTGCCAACAAAATTCTTTGTAGTCCTATCATATCTATTTAATTAGTATCATATGTTTCTTATAGGATAACAAGAAGCTTACTGACTGAGCATTGGTATGTGGTGTGCATACTTTGATTATCCTAAAATATTTTGTGAACCATCCGTACCTTATGTTATTCTTTTTTTGCCTTCATCATATATTTTCAGAATCTTTTAATGGATGTACGTGATAAGCTTCTTTTTGAAGCAGACTATGCTGGTAATGTAAGGGCAAAGGTCCCACCAAAGTCATCTCTTCAAATTCCATGGTCCTGGTTGCCTAGTGCGCTTTGCCTACTTCAAGAGGTAGAGTTTATTGCACCTTTAGATGATTTTAGGAGAAGTTGTTACTACACTGCCTTGCTTTTCATTGTGATATCCTGGAATCTTAGGGGGCGTTTGGTTTGATGGAATGGTTTTTAGGGATTTGGATTTCATGGAAGGATTCGGAACCTTAGGTTGTTTGGTTTGTAGGATTTGGATTGAAATTGGATTCCATTCTTTATAAATAATTTATAAAAACAAATTATAAATAATTATAAAAATAACTAAATTATTACAAAACAAATGTTTTGACATATTTTTCAACATTGTTACATACGAATCCTATGAAATACCAACCATATGGGATTTCAAATCCAAGAAACCCATCAAACCAAACATGGGATTGGAATGGAATTCAAATCCAACCTCCAAATCCAATTCAATCCTGCAAACCAAACTGGACCTTATTGTTTTCTTTTCTGCTGCATGGAATTGGCTGTTCGTTGGTTTGCTTTTAATCACTTCTCACTTTGCATGCCCTCTGATTACTACATAAAATTGAAGTCCTGATTTGGAAGTTTTGACTCCAATTCTTTCTTCATAGTCGGATAAGCTATTTATATTGCTGCTCTTTTGAAATTCTTTGCTTAAAGTTGTAATGTATTTAGTTTAAGCTTGTCGTAGGTCGGAGAAGAGAAGCTTGCTCTAGATATTGGGCGAACAGCACTGCAGCACCCTGATTCTAAGCCTTTTGTTCATGATTTGCTCTTATCAATGGCTCTTGCAGAGGTAAGAAAAAGAAGAACGAGGTTTGAGCATTGCACCTGTCTTTCCTTTCAGACTTTTGCCATTTTCTTATTATAGGTGCTTTCTTGAAGTGTGCTATAGCGAAAGCAAACTTTGAGAAGAACAAGATTTCCCAAGGATTTGAAGCTTTAGCTCGTGCTCAGAGTCTTCTTAAGAGCAAACCTTCACTTGAGAAGATGACATTGTTATCTCAGGTGCTTTTTAGGTTATCTTCTTTTTGTTCATATGATGAAATACCCAACAAGAAAAGAGAACAAAAGAGTTAAGTAGAACTAACACTTTAACTTATAAGAGGGAGGTTCAGGGGAAAACCCCTAAAAATGAAAATCTGAGGAACACCTTGGTAACCATTCATCTGGACAATATGCACATGGGCAAACAAGTAATTGAAGTTGTTTCTTGGTTTTTATGCATATGTGCATACCGTCTAGATGAATAATTACCAGGGTGTTCCTTAGTGTTTCAGTTTTTTGCGGTTTTCCTTTGAACCCGACCCTAACTTATAATATAGTTAAATAGGAGTCTTCAAACTCTCTACACCGACGTAACTATAGGCCTGGTGTAGCTGGTTTTTTGTTAGTATTCTCTATGCCATTTTATATTACCATTTCTTTTATGAGTCCATTTTCATCCAATGCTTAACTTGCACATCTGTATTAGATCGAAGAATCTTTGGAAGAGCTTGCCCCTGCCTGCACGCTAGAGTTGTTAGGCATGCCTCATACACCAGAAAATGCTGAGAGGAGAGTAGGAGCAATTGCAGCTCTGCGTGAACTGCTTAGACAAGGCCTAGATGTGGAAACTTCATGTCAAGTAGAAGATTGGCCATGCTTCTTGAATCAAGCTTTAAATAAGCTCACAGCTGCAGAAATAGTTGAGCTTCTTAACTGGGATAGTCTAGCTAATACACGGAAGAACAAGAAGTCACTCGAGTCGCAGAATCAAAGAATAGTTGTTGACGCAAGCTGTCTCTATGTTGTAATGATGGCTCATATGGCCCTTGGTTTTTCAAGCAAGCAAATCGAGATGGTATATTCCTTTTGGAAACCTGGTACATTTTTCATCTTGCAATCTACAAAAAATGTAATGTCTTCTCCAGTATAATCTATTTCTCCCTGAACTTGCATGCATTGACAAGTAATATCTGTTTCACATTTAAATTAGATGTGATGTAATTCACGGGTCGGGTTCAGGGACGGTATACACACGTGTATAACAAGTAATTTGTGAGCAATTTGTCCGTATGCACATGTGCATAACATGCGCACGTCCGTAAAAACCAAGAAACAACTTCAATTACTTGTATGCACATGTGCATAATGTCCAGATGAATGGTTAATGGTTACCAGGGTGTTCCTCAGTTTTTCATATTTTTTGGGGTTTTTCCCTAAATCTCCCTCTGTAATTCATTATTAGTTACTTGAAGATGTTTAATTTAATTTAACATCACATCTCTGTAAAATATTTTCACATCAAGAAAGTCCTTTAATATTTTTTTTTGTAGATTAAGAAAGCAAAGACTATTTGCGAGTGTTTATTAGCATCAGAAGGCATTGATTTGAGACTTGAAGAGGCCTTCTGTTTGTTCCTTCTTGGACAGGTACTTTTCTCTTGAATCTACAAACTTTACAAATAGATTGCTCTTTATGAACATATTGATGGTTATTTTCTCATGGTGTTGTATAGGGTGATGAAGCTGTGGTTGTTGAAAGGCTACGGCAGGTCGAATCAAATTCAAATTTAACTTCAAGAACGTTGATATCGGGGAAGGACATCAAGGATGCTTCAAATGCAAAGAAGATGCTTGTATGCTTTTGTTTATGCTTTAATACACAATTTCCAAATCCCTTTAAATACCATGAGAATTAGAAACGCTAACTAGACCATAGCTATTGTTTTGATTCTTGGCAAGGTAGTTGATTACACAAAGGTTTCTATGGTGCAAAGTGAACTCATCGGAAAGTCATATATATATAGGTCAGGTTCATGGGAAAACAGCAAAAAATGAAAAACTGAGGAACACCCTGGTAACCATTCATCTGGATGGTATGCACATGTGCATACAGGTAATTTGTAAGCAATTTGTTTGCTATGCACATATGCATACCGTCCAGACGAATGGTAATTACCAAGGTGTTCCTCAACTTTTCATTTTTAGGGGTTTTCCCCTGAACCTCCCTCTATATATATATATACACGATGTATTAGTATGTGTGTGTGTGTGTGTGTGTGTGTATATATATATATATATTTGAGGGGTATTAGTCTACGTTTGCTGTCCCACTACATACTCTATATTGGCTCTTGCATTCAATAAAGTGTTGTGCCACTTTATCAAGCCACCACTTCACCTATGAGTTTTGTACATAGTATCAAAGTTACCTCAGTAGATACAGAAACCCTAGATATGAGAATCTTACCTTAATCCACTTGTCTACCGTCGCTGTTGATTCCCTGGTGCATCACCATTGTCACTGCTCATGTAGCTGCCATTGCTGTTGACTTGTTTCCTGGTCGTATTGCCATAGCATTTGAATCATCATTAGAAGACAAACGCTCCTCTTGTCAATCTGACATAATAGTCAAAAATATTAGTCAGACTTTAAGGTCTTAATGGACTTGGAAAAACCGTTTCTGTTATTCGAAACACATGACGGGGGTGTTCATTGTTGGCCAATGAACCCCTAGGTGAGATGTCTTGGGTTAACTTATATCTGATGCTCAATGGTCAGGATAAAGCTTGCAACCCCTAGTTCTGTTTTGGTGGTTTCCCCTTATCTTTATCTCAAAAATCTACTCTGTGCCAGCAAGTTAGCAATACACAGCAGAAAAAATAATTACAAAATGACGTGAAGTCCAAAAGATAATAGTTTGAAGGTTTCCGACACCAACTAAATCACATACAATCAAAAGGCAGTGGACATTTGATGAAAACAACTTAAACTGTAAGCGGAATCCTCACACTAAGAAAGTAAAAGAGTGAGGATGGATGGTTAATAAGGTATTGAACTGAGGGGATGTTTGGTTGATTTTCCATTAAGCCATGTATGGATAAAGTTGTTTGTGTGGATTAATATGTCTGTATGGATTGGAAAGGTTTTTGTTTGGGGGGGCTTTTTCATAAATGGAAGAAGCATGTTTTAATTGGGAGGGACATGTTTGGAAAAAACTTGGCTTTCTGCATAAAACTCATCCCTAGAAGCTTACTGAATAAGGCACTTTCTGTATCATTAAGCCATTATCGAACTGTCATGTATAACTAACTGAATAAGCTTTGAGTCTCATTAAGCTGCAAATAAACATACCCTGACAGTCATCCACAGCATTTTCCTCTTATGCTATTCATCAAGAGTCCATTGGTGAATAGTTTGAGACATGCTCCTTCAATCAGTGATTTAGGCTTACTGCACTGAAGTCTTCGGCATTTGCTATTGTTTTATATAGTTGGTGTGCTGTGAATTTTCCCCTTTGGCTTCTATGATGATGCATGAATATATACACACAAACACACATATATATCTTATGTAAGAGTTGTGGCTGGGTTGACCAGGAATCATGGCTAAATGATGCATTACTTGGTTTGTTTCCCGACACAAGAGATTGCTCTCCATCTTTGGTAAGTTAAAAATGATTTAAAACATATCTGTATTTAGAGTACGCAGAAACTGATTTCCAAACGCATTTCTGCAGGATAACTTTTTTGGAGGTGAAAAAAGGGTTTCTGAAAACAAGCATAGAAAAAGAGCGCAGACATCAGCTAGTCTTGGCCACAGGTCACTTTCCACTGCTTTTTCATCTGACCGACGAACTCTTGACGATCATACATCTACTTCTCCACGCCTTGAGCCAGCTGTGAAGCAGTTGACTCCATCTGATTTGCACGTCCCACTAACAGCAAGCAGTGTTAAAGCTGAAAGCTATCCAGCCGTTCAATTGAAGCGAAATTTGGGTGTACACTATAATAAAGTTTGGGAAGTTTGGTTGGATCCGAATAGTGCAGTTCGGTATACGAGCTTAGCGACCGTAATGCTGTGCTTATTGTTTGCTACTTTTAAGCTGATGGGTGTACGGTTTTGGGGAACGAGGAGGTCATCTAGCTGGGTCCAGGGTGAGCCAAGGATGAACACGGGTTCTCTTTCTTTTGCAACGGAGTCTTCTTATGGTCTTTGGGGATCTGCTTGTAATAAGGGGAGTCTTATTGCCGACAGGCTATCCAAGATGTTGTCAATGCAAAATAAAAGGCTTAATAGTGGACTTGATGTTGGAGGTCTACAAGATTCGAGCATTGCTGCGAGTTCAATTTCCTCCGCAACGGTATGTAGGAGATCGATGCATGTCGACGAAGCTGAAACTCTTGTTAAACAATGGCAGACTATTAAAGCCGAAGCTCTCGGACCTAATTATAAAGTTCATAACCTTGTGAATGTTCTTGATGAGTCGATGCTTCGGCAGGTGAGTAAAGTTTTCGCTTAATTGTATTGGATTTTGTTGGAGTGCCACCTCGGCTAGATTTGGACCATTTTTCCTCAATATATGTTGGAAATTCGAACCCCCATTCTCTTCTCAAAGGCTCTTTTCGAGAGTAATCGAATGGGGTTTCACATATTTTCACATGGTATCAGAGCCAAGTTCTACCGCTATAGGGATTACACTCTATCTAGCCCCCTCTCGACACTTGGGGATAATCTGTGTAGCTAGGGATGGAAAGGTGGCGGGTAATGCATCCCCCGTCTCTGACCCTCGTTTAATCCCCCCGCCCTGACTAATCCCAGCGAGTTCGGGGGGAAGGAATCCCTGGCGAGTACGGGAAACTCGTTGCGTACCGGTTTAGTAAAAAGTAATTTAATTTAAAATCAATATTATAATGAATCTTCACTACATTAATTAGCAATATTGAAAATCAAATATATTTATCATTTAATAATAAATGTATACATATATACATAGGGGAAGGATCGTGTGAGAAGGAGAGTTAAGGTGAGAAGCGTAAGAAGGGATCTGGACCTTTGATAACCTTTAATCTCAAACCTACCCATGAATCGTGCTTGATACGGGGATTGATCCAGTGCATCTCGGTCAATCTCATCCTAATGTGCATCTAAGAGTGAAGATCCCTTCTTATGTTTCTCGCTTTAACTCTTCTTCTCACCGGAACCCAACCCTATATACATATATATCTGTTTAAACACACTATATATATAATTACATATAATAAATAAAATGAAAAAAATCAGGTTCAAATTAGGGGCAGCTAAAGCCATCCCCAACCCCGCCCTGACCCCGCTTCAGTTATGAAAATAAATCCCCATCCCTGCCCCGTTACCCATCAAACGGCGGGTAAAATTTCCATCATCATGTTGGAGTCCCCCATCGGCCAGACTTAGACCATTTCTCCTTGAAAAAATAGGTGATGCACCTTTTACAGGCTTATTAATATGGCTGGATGAGATACCATCAGCATGAAATTCATCACTTTTTTAAATATCTCTGCTATTTACAACTCTCCATTGATTTGGATACAGTGGAAGGCATTAGCTGAAACAGCAAAAGACAGATGCTGCTTTTGGAGATTTGTTTTGCTACAATTGTCTATTCTTCGAGCCGACATTTTGTCAGATGGAATGGGCAAGGAAATGGCGGAAATAGAGGCTCTTGTTGAGGAAGCAGCTGAACTTGTGGATGCATCTCATCAGAAGAACCCAAATTATTACAGGTAATTGTAGTATAGAAAATAGTATGCATTATCTGGTTGCTTTTCAATAAAGATGTCATATTTTCACTACTTAATCGCTTACCATTTTCCAAACAAGATAATATATATGGGTTCACTTTATTTTCTTGAACCACCAACGTTTCAAAGGGTATTCACTTTATTTGGTTATAATGTGTCTTGATATTGCTAAATTCTCATCAAATATGAAATACCCGTGGTTGCAAAGGTGTTAAGCTTACCGAATAGAGCATGGTGATGCCTATCTGGACAGCAAATTGTACCCTCTGGTTTACGTAGCTTGTTTGCTAGAATGAGCTTAATGGGACTCAGCTTATTCGGTCAGCTATATATGACTGTTTGGTAGAGGCTTAATGATATAGAAAGTGGCTTATTTAGTAAGGTTTTAGGGGGGAGCTTTATGCAAAAGCCAAGTTTTACCCAAACCTGCCCCTCCAATTAAAAAAAAAGTTTATTCCATATATGAAAAAACCCTCCCAACCAAAAACCTTCTCAATCTATACAGACATATTAATGCACACAGACATCTTTGTCCATACAGAACTTAAAGGAAACAACCAAACGACCTCTAAATATTGTGTAGAACCAAGTCCACAAATTCTGTGGTTGAAACGAAAGCAAGAATACCTATATACTACACCAATAGCAAACTGTGGACATACTAATTATATAAGAAATAGGAACTGAAATAAAGAACAGAAAGTTATAACAAAGTGCTTTAAGTTTTCTTGTGATCTGTAATGTACTAGATGTTGGTACTGAAGAATGAGTATGCCAGCCTTAACTGTCTTGAATCGTTACAAGTTTCCAAGGTATTTTGGGTCCTTTGGTTAAATGATCGTGAATGAGTTTTTCAATTAGGACATGACCTTCTAATTTTTTTAACTCAATGATCTTCATCTGACTTGCATCTGGTGTAAAACAATCCGCTCCTGTTGTAAAACAGTCCGCCCCTTGTAAAAGCTTGAAAATACACTAGAGGGTTAGGCTCTTGAAGTTGGTTTTGTAGAAGGCCATTCAGCTAGATATCCCCATTTTTTAGGTACTTGATAATTAGTGATTAGTCAAGACTTTATTAAATCGTGTATAATCAAACGTTGCATTTTTTGAACCGAGGGAGTATTCAGTTTGTTGATGGTTTCCATCCTATGTGCACCTTTCCTAATTTTTGTTTTCTGGTGACTCCTACAACTCCATAAATCTAAAAAACGCTCGTTCAGCCCCGCTTTACTAATGATCTTTCTAAACGTGTCTGATCTGACTGATTTCAGTACCTACACCATTCGTTATTTGCTGAAGAGGCAAGACGATGGATCATGGAGATTCTGTGAAAGTGATATCCAAACCCCATCGTGATCATTGTTTGGAACTCCAAGAAGGTATACATCTATTCTATCTAACACTATGCCCATTCGTTTTTCCAACTTAGGTTCATCGTTGTAGGGAGTGACAGTGATTAGACGGCCTCCTGATCTAAGGGGGAAGGAGTCGTCGATTTATAACAGGACCATTTGATTTCTAATCATTTATTGTATTTTTTTCATCATTTATTTCTGATCTAGTCGAACATGTTTGTGGGTTTGGCTGTTTCAAAAGTGTATAAAAGGTGATTTTTTTCTTCTTTAATATATTGTAGGTGTTGGAAGTGTTGTGATTTTGTTTCCCACTTTTGCATATACTGAATCAAGCTAGGGATGGAAAAAGTGTGATTGTATTATCTGGAAACATGCAGTTTACACAAATGTCTGATATGGAATCTTAGGTGTTGTTTAGTTTGCAAAATTCAAAGGATGTCAAGGGATTTGGAATGATTGATTCCAATTCCTTTGTTTGGTTCACATATTGAAATGAACGGAATTCATCATTTCTTAGCATGAGTGAAAGAATTGAATTCTCTCTTTGCATCCAATTTAACTAAGACCGTCCACCCCGCCCCCACCATGACCATGCTATTGTTGTCACGCCCCATCCCTAACCCTCATCACCACCACCACAACACTACTGTAGTCGTCACCCCCACTCCTACTCACCGGCCATAATGTCATTATTGTCGTCATCACACCAACCCACCCCACACCCACCCGACTACTATTGCACCACTAGTCGTCACAACTACCACCTCGCCACCCACTCCACCGACCACCATATGCCACTACTGCCGTCATCATAGCTACCACCCCAACCCCACCCAACACTCACTAAATCTTCCTCACAACTGTCAGCTCAAACAAAAATAGAGATTCCAGTTTTCGTAAGATGTTTCATTCCAATTCCTACCAACAAGAACATCGTCAAATTTCATTTTAATTTCTTTAAACTCAAATTCCTTTGATAGGTTCCAATTCAACCAAATTCCATTATGCACCTCTTAGGTCGCTGCTTAATTTGGAATTGGATTCTATTGCAACTCTCATTTGCTTAAAAAAAGTGTGGAATTGAAATAATATGATTTCAATAGAACCCCACAAATATAGGATTTAGATAGTATTTCACGGGGTTTTATAAGATTTGTCTATAATAATGAATAAAAAAAAAGTATGTTAAAACTTCATTTTGTAATAATTAATTAATTAATTAAAGGTAATTTAATTGTTTGTATAAATTGTCTAATAAGGAATAGATTGCCGCAGACCAGGTTTTGGGCTCACTAGACCCGGGTCATTTTGTTTTAGGCTCGGGCTTTTTGATGCATCTCTGTTGAGGTGTAAGGATGAAGTTTGAGCATTTACTCGTTGTAAAGTAATAAAACTAATACTTAACAATTTGATATTGAATAACAGACTGTTATAAATTAGTTAATATACGATCCCAGAAAAGGTTAATAACTAAAATGACCATGGACCGGCTAGGGACCGATCCGAGCCCAGTTCGGATCAGAACCGGTTGAGGGTGTCGGAGGTTTGGACCACAACCAGGACCAACTGAATAACCAATTTGGTCAATAAAAATGATGACTGAGCCATATTCTGCAACTCTCATGCATTGATGAAAGAGAAGGTAAAAGCAATTATAATACAATTGAATGCTTCCATACTAATACTATTCGGTCGACTAAATTGGGTCTCTATGTATCTCGATAGTGATGCCATTTTTGGTATCTTTCGTGACCGGGAAGCACAGGTCTAAGTCGAGCAGCAGATGTACAGTCTGAGGAGCAGCATCCTCTTAAATCATCCATACACCCTGAACAACACCTGAAAATGAAACAATACGTATCATATTTTTATGATGTTTACTGTGGGACATGTTCATTTTAGAACCATAAGAACCAAGTATTCATGATGCAAATGCATGGTATTCATAATGATTAAGAATGTTAATGAGTATTTAGGTATATTCATCATGAATAGTTGGGTCTCATGATTTGAAATATTTATGGCTCTTAAATGAACTTTCCCATGTCTACTATATGGTTTTTCCCTTGCAGTTTACTAGATGATCCAACCAACTCAACGTAAATGAGTTATCTTTTTTTTGAAGTATATAATATTTATATACAGCAAATGCAACAAGTAAACTCACACACCCTCCTCACCTATGGTGAGGTTTGAACCTCTGACCTCCTAAGAGGCCAGAGGCTATGATACCACTAGGTCAAAGGCCCTTTGGTAATGAGTTATCTTTTTCTCGTTCCAAAACAACAAAATTGGGAAAACCACTATACATTGATAAATAATAGGGCAAGTTCATTTGAGAACCGTAAATATTATGAGAACTGTGAGAACCAATTATTCATCATGAATATCTTTAATGAATATTATGATATATCTATCTATATATATATATATATATATATATAGAGAGAGAGAGAGAGAGAGAGAGAGGTAGTTTCCTGCTCTAAAACAATGATCACAATTAAAGAACTCGTATCATCTCCATAAAATATATCAATTGTTTCCTAATGTAAGTGATGATCATGATTTTTACGGTTTGTAAGAATTCAATGGTTTGTATTTTAAACTCCCTATGTACATATAGAGTCAGGTTAAGAGGAAAACCTCAAAAAAATGAAAAACTGAGAAACACCCTAGTAACCATTCATCTGTACGGTATGCACACGTGCATAGAAACTAGGAAACATCTTCAATTACTTGTATGCACATGTGCATATTGTATAGATGAATGGTTATTAGGGTGTTCCTCGTTTCTCATTTTTTAGGGTTTCCCCCCCGAACCTCTCTCTCTCTCTCATATACATATATATATATATATACATATATATATATATATATATTCTTTTTCATCTTTATTTAATGGGTTCCACATGCACAGCACAAATCCTCACATAACAGAGATAGAAGTGACAGAATGGAACCAAGGAATGAGCTTGAATTTAAAAATTATTGACCCTAAAGTTCATATATGCAATTTGAGGATGCAACAAACAGCAAGGAACTTTAAATACTTACAGGAATAGCAGATTGCAGTCCAGATTTGCACAATTTCGATGCCGCAGCTCAGAGACTTGTGAACCACAAATATAGCATTTAGCAAACACGGTATTATCAGAAACTTCGTGTGTTAAGCTTTCATCAGTTTTAGCATCGTGTTTAACCGAAGTGGGTGGCAGAGAGAGCCGGGCATCAAAAACAAATAGATTGCCGATCCATTCAACTGGGCCCTCACACTGGAGATAATGTGAAATTCCTCCTCTTAATGTATATAACTTTTTGTAACCCCTTTGTCTGTTAAGATGTAAGGAACTCGTAAGATTGTATGTTATATATATATATATATATATATATATATATATATATGTGAGTGTGTGTGTGTGTTTTCGTGAAGCAATGTTGGCACATCATGTTAATGATTTAGGTTGTCATTATTTTGACAAAGATCATTCAGAGAAGACAATTCGATCCTATAAACTTCAGGATGAGTTTTATGCACACACATATACATATATATATATATAGAGAGAGAGAGAGAGAGAGAATGAGGTTCAGGGGAAAACCCCCAAAAAAAATGAAAAACTGAGGAACAACCGGTATGCACATGTGCATACAAGTAATTGAAGATGTTCCCTGGTTTCAATGCACATGTGCATACCGGACAAATTACTTACACATTGCTTATATGCACATGTGAATACCGTATAGATGATTGGTTAGCATGGTGTTCCTTAGTTTTTCATTTTCTTTGCAAGCCAGGGAACTACCGATAGAGCACTAGGTGTCCAGGACATTCATCATAAATGTTGTAAAAAGTTCACGTCCATTATTCATGATGAATATGGAAATGTGGTGCGCTCTCAGTCGTTCCCCGCTTCGCAATGGAGATGCGATTCTCAGCCAAACTTTCCTCTCTCTCTCTCTCTCTCTCTCTCTCTATATATATATATATATATACACACACACACACAACTATATTCCATATATATGCTCCAGTTTTAAGGTTTCTATTTGTTCAACCCTTTGACGTGTTCTGTTTGGTATTTGTTCTCATTTATTGGAATGCTTTCCAATAACTGTTCTGTTAAGGACCTGTATCTTTTTTAATTTATTTTGTAGCCAGTCCCAGATGTTTCTGTGTATGTAGAACATTTATTAACTTATTGTCATAATAAGGAAAGGACAAGGCGGAAAACAAGAAGCCGGTAGCTGAAACTTGTGATTGGTAGTAAAACACCAATTCTCTTGCTGAGACCATTCGTGTAGGCTATTGGCTCCATTTCTCGTCCCCACGATGTGGGTCCCATCTTCATTTACTCTCACATCATTATAACGGGGATCACAAAAATGAAAATGAGATATGAACTAAACTAATCAAGATATAAATATACATATGCATGCATACACACACACTCTTGTATATGTATGCTAATGTATATAATTTTAATATATAAAGGGAGATATATGCATGTATGTATGAATGTATGCATGCGGGCACACACATACATAAACTAAACCAAACTAGCACAGTTAGAACAGAGGATAGTTCCAGGGCTGGAATCACGAGCTTGAACTACCAGTACATATGAGTCACCATAAGCATATTCACACACAAAAACACACACACATATATGTAGAGGTGGTTTCATTTACAAACCCAACCATTAGTACAAACCATACAAATCAATCTCAACCTTTTATTTAGTCTAATGAAATATCTTATACATGAATATCTCAATTTTTCCTAATATGAAACGTTGATCATAATAAATGAACTCTGATGATCTTCCATAAATATCCAAATCATAATAAATAAATTCTCATCATTTATATAAATATCTCAATTAATTGGTTTCTATGGTTTGTACTAATGGTGGGTTTGTAAAAGATCTATCCTATATATATATATATATATATATATATAGAGAGAGAGAGAGAGAAGGGGGGAGGTTCAAGGAAAACCCCCAAAAAAATGAAAATTTGAGGAACACCCTAGTAACCGTTCATCTGTACTGTATGCCGATGTGCATATAAGTAATTGAAGATGTTTCGTGGTTTCTATGCACGTGTCCATGTTATGCACATGTGCATACCGGAAAATTATCTTACAAATTACTTGTATGCATATGTGAATACAGTAAAGATGAATGGTTACTAGGGTCTGAACCTGATCATATATATATATATATATATTCAGGATTTCTGAATAAAGAGTTGATATTAAGCATCTAATTCATGTAAGCCTAGCTGGCTTGTAAATACAATATCAGGATTAGTCCAGGCTGAGATTTATTGCAGATTGCTTACAAAATGAAAAGAACAAGCTAAATAAGGATACCTAAGGATAGTAGAATATACGTCACATCGAATGCCTCCTGTGCAGTACATTAATATATCCGTCTTTTCCTTATCAACATTAGCTAGAGGATCTGAAGCAACATCCTGTATCAGACAAATAAACACGACTGATTCAATTATTAGAAAAGTTTTCCTACTAAATTATACATGTAATCAAATTAAGGCGAAGGATCGTGTGAGAAAGGAAGTTATGGTGAGAAGCATAAGGAAAGATCTGAACCCTTGATCACTTTTAACCTCATGCCCACCCATGAATTGCGCTTTAGACAGGAATTGTTACGGTGCATCTCGGTGCACCTCATTAGTGTTGACATTCAATTAGGATTGATCCAAGGGTGGAGATCTCTTCTTACGCTTCTCACCATAACTTTCCTTCTTATCGGAATCCAACCCATCAAATTAACTGGAACAACATTGGTGCCTTACGATATCTTTTATATAAAGGAAAAACAGTTCACATGTTTAGAATTTGAAGTCCACTGATATTAAACATCTACACAAATGTGGAGCAAGTTCTACCTCTGATCCAGATAGCCCAAATGTTGTACTCCTGAAACAGTCTACATTTGGTCGTTGAGCTCCAATAAAGTGACCAATATCCCATTCATAACCTGGCAACAAGAATAAAGACCTATAACAATAAGCAATGTCTGAATTGCAGAGAGAAATGAGGCGAAAAAATGAGTATGAATAATGTAAGAGTCCCACATCGGCCGACTTGGACTATTTCACCCATATATATGTTGGAACCCCCCCCCCTTTTCTCTCCTCAAGGGCTCTTTTGGAGAGTAATTTGGGGGTTTTACATATTCTCCTATGGTATCAGAGCCAACGTCTACTACTCTAGGACTCGACATTCTGGGACAATTTGTACCGTCTCTAGGACAACCTGTCTGTCTAGCCTCCATTGGAGGGGGCGTGTTAGGGTCCTGCATTAGCTACACTTGGACCGTTTCACCTCTATATATGTTGGAACCCCCCTTCTCTCCTCAAGGGCTCTTTCGGAGAGTAACCTGGGGGTTCCACATATTCTCACATAGTTTCAGAGTTTCAGAGCCAAGGTCTACCACTCTAGGGACTCGACACTCTGGGGCAATTTGTACCTATCTAGCCTCCGTCGGAGGGGGCGTGTTAGAGTCCTACATCAGCTAGACTTGAACCATTTCATTTCTATATATGTTGGAACCCCCCCCCCCCCCTCTCCTCAAGGGCTCTTTTAGAGAGTAATATGGGGGTTCCACATACTCTCACAAATAACAAACATAAATTTATCTTTTCAAAAGTGCTCTTTGCAATAAACNTCGCTTATTTGTAGTTTGTCCCATATTGACTAGACGTGGACCATTTCTCCTTGATATATGTTGGAACCTCCCCTCTCTCCTCAAGGGCTCTTTTAGAGAGTAATATGGGGGTTCCACATACTCTCACAAATAACAAACATAAATTTATCTTTTCAAAAGTGCTCTTTGCAATAAACAATATCTTCATATATAGGTTGTAAGGAATATCCTTCAAACAACTAAAGAAATGCTATGGAAATTGAATTAAGGAGTCATTATTACGTTGGCCTCAAACTAAACTCATCCCAACAGACTGAACATTTCCCTACGGATTGAAGAATCCTAGTGCAATACTACACTTTACATGCACTATGATTTGGTATGATATCAAAACATAAATTATTGCTCTTTTGACATGAACCTTAGTTAAAGCATATGTTGACGAGCTTGGAATTTAGTATTCATGTCCCTATTAATCCTGACAATTACGTAATCATATATAAAGGGTCAGGTTTATGGGGAAAACTGCAAGAAAATGAAAAACTGAGGAACAACCTAGTAACCATTCATCTGCACGTTATGTACAAGTGCATACAAGTAATTTGTAAGTAATTTGCCCGGTATGCAATAGTGCATAACATGCACGCGTGCATTAAAACCAGGAAACACCTTCAATTACTTGTGTGCACATGTGCATACTGTACAAATGAACGATACTAGCTTTTCTTGAAAAAAGGAAGATGGTTGAAAGAGTGAGGTATTAGAACTAGCATGTTGGGAAAACGGGGAGACATATTGGACGTAACCACTCCCTTGGTTGGGGGCTCGCGTTCTTGGTCAAGTAATGGCTCTAGCTTCATTCTTGCTTTGGGATCATTGCTTATTCGGTTGGGATTACCAACCGACTTGCCTGACCAAAGAATAAGATAAAAAGAAGAGTAAAATTGTTGGTTCTGCAAAATCCGCGGTTTCCCCTGTTTTTAGTCTATCCAAGTGCTTGAGGTTAGGCTAGGTAGCTTCCTTTCTTTATAGCATCAACTGCTAGGAAAGAAAAAATAGCATTAACTGCTAGGAAAGAAAAGTTGTCCTTCTATAATAGCTATTGGCTCTCTTCTCACCTCCCCTTGAGCTATGTCATTTTTCTTGACGCGATATAAAAGATGACTTTCGAGAGCCACTTAGCCCCTGAACGAAGCACAGGTGAAGCCTACAGGAAAGGAGATCTCGCTCTTTCCTTTCACCAGTCGGGATGTGCATCTTACCCTATAATAAGCAACTGGATGTTTCCAGCTTCAAACATGTCCTCTTCGCTTCCCAAGAGATTGGATTTAGGTAAAAGGGCCTTGTTAAGGGAGAGCTAGGGGGAACACTCGCCAGCAAGCACCTGGGTAGAGTAAGATCCAAAAGCTATTGAACGACAAACCAGGGAGTTACTGTTGGTCTTGCTATAGAAAATAGTCTTTAAGCTACCTAAACAAAAATAGCCTAAAGCAGAGCAAAAAAACGAAAGAACCTCAATTTTATGACAAATCCGGTCCATACCGAAAGTGATAATAAAAGTGGGAATGTTGTCACTAGAACAAGCGGAGTTGTACCGAAATTCCATTTTCCGGGCATACGAGAAAAGAGTCCAGCCGAGCATATTTGTTTGCTATTAGGGTGTTTCTCAGTTTATCATTCTTGGGAGGGTTTTCCCGTGAACCTCAGTCTCTCTCTTTCTATATATATATATATATATGTGTGTGTGTGTGTGTGTGTATACATTGCCTCTTATCATGTTGGATGTAGTAGCATTCAAGTGTTTCATGTTTTTATAGCCAAGGCATCCACCAGATCACTTGAAGTTAGCACCCGGTACTTGGTCTTCCTCAGTATAACATGCTTTTGTGGAAAAGAAATAGTTTTTTGCTCCATTGCATAAACAAGGGAATAAAGTCAATGAAACACAAGCAAACAAAGGGAAGAAGTACCATTTCTCACATCCAATAGAATGACTTTTCTACTTGGATTCAAATGTGATGAAACTTCAATGTTATTTGCTGCTTCTACTCTCTTCCTCCATTCAGCTGGTGTGAGAGGTGTTGCTCGCATAGATGAGTCGATCAAAGGAAGATGTGATACCCCTCCTTCCATCTGAAGGACAACAAATGATGATAAGACAAAAGTTGAGCAACAAGTGAGATAAAAGATTTCATTAAAACTAAAGTTAGTAAAGTACAATTTCTACCTCCGGATAAGGGCCTCTTATTAGCAGCTTAATGAGCTTAATGAGCTTAATGGGGCTCGCAGCTTAATTGGTTAGCTATACATGACTATTTGGTAGTGGCTTAATGATATAGAAAGTGGCTTATTCAATAAGGTTCTAGGGGGGAGCTCTATGCAGAAAGTCAAGTTTTTTTTTTCCAAACATGGCCCTCCCAATCAAAAAACACAAACTTACGTCTATGAAAAAACCGTCCAAAACAAAAACCTTTCCAATCAATACGGACAGATTAATCCACACATACAACTTTATCCATACATGACTTAGTGGAAAACCAAGCAAACATCCCCAAACTGTGGTATTGTTATTAATTTAGACTAATAGCCTTAGAATAAACATGAACATTATAGAAAACGAGTAAATAGTGATATGTTACATTTCAATTGTGGACCATTATTACCAATCTCAACTGATTTACTGATTTTCCTTTTATAAGCACCAACATCTAGCAGTTGTATCAGCAGCCCGTGCTTGGCCTAGTTATTGATACCAACTCATTGGATGATATATGTTATTTCATCCTATAGCAGAAACCATATTTCAAATAACTAAAGCTAGGTCTTCCGCACTATAAGATTTGACAAGATTGCATAATTGGACCAAGATAATCATACAGTTATTACATGATTGATGTTTATGGTTTAGTCAGAGATAAAAATTGCTAATTGTTTTCACTTTTTGACAATTTGAGGGGAACACATTCTCATGAGTCACATGATTGGATCAAAAGATTAGACAACTCTATGATGCCCTCGGTAATCTGCCTAAGCACAATATAAGCGAGAGAAAATAACCCGCCAACGTTCATCTCCCCCCCTCCTCAATCTCACAAGTAAATTTATACTAGAATCACACAAACAAATAAGACAAGATGGATTACAGATCTTACAGAAATCATAGATAAATTGTTTACATCTACTGCTATGATAAACCAGTTACCAATCCCCTTCAGAAAGTAAAATATTCCAAAACATCCCAATATGCAGTGCTGAAGGAATCTCACACTAATACCGTGCAATCAAGACTGACTGTAACTCCTGTCAACACTAACAACTTATTTTCTTCATAGCACATTCAAGACCAAATTGCCACAAAGACTACAAGTACCTATGAGACCCAAATTGGTGTTCATGGTTACTGACATGGATAAGAAAAACCCGAGCACTTGCCTTTCTTTTCCCCAGAAAACCTTTAAGGCTAAATACCCAACTGTTTTGCATTAAAAAAAAGATGTACTTCTATGAGTTTTGCAAACCCTAAAGCCCTGATCTTCTTTCTGTTTTACCCCGATCAGCCTGTGTCTCTTTTCTGTTCAGTTTCTCTTTGCATAGACCCCTTAAATGGTTCATGGGTTAGCAAGAGATGATTAGAGGACTGTCATATGATGCATCTAAAGACAAACGGGAAATGAGATGAATGCATAGCAGAAGAGCTAGCTTGCCTGTACAAGAGAAGGTTTATACCGCAGTTTCAGTCTTGGGAAAGCATGCTTGCGTATAGGAGGAGATATCTGAACTAGAATATCGTGAAATCTTTCATCTTCTTTTAACCAGCTGACATATGCAAGAGCATCTTCTGATGGCCCACTGTACTGCATAAATTGACGAATTATGCAAGTCAGCAAGCATCTCCAAAGCAATATGTTTGAAATCTGATTCAAAGACCAACTTAAGAAAAGACAGCACCTTTTCTTTTCTTTTTTTGGAAAAAAAATACTTTTTTTATTAACTAAATCAGAGGGTTCGACTCCCTCTCTTTCCGTTTCCGTTGATCAATGTTCTTTCTTCCACATAAAGGAAATAGGGTAATTAGGTATAAAAGAGCTTGTTAAGGACAACTAGTAACTTCTATTCATAATAAACCTCTGTGCTTATGATTCATAAAATAATGTTCATGACATTGTAAGTCATCAATGTGTTTGAGGTTACGTATATCTCTTAATTAATATTGATATTTATCCACATAGGATAGAATTCGATCTTGTAAATTGTGAACATACCTCCAAAATTCCCTCAATTAGTTTATAAATAAAATTTATTACAAAATATTTCATGGTTTCAGAACCTCATACTTTTGATACATAAATCCTAGCTGCATACTTACAGCCATTGTCAACTGTCATCCAAATAAACCCTGAGTTGCAATTTCAACAAATTTCTTTTGGCAATGGAATCATACATGAGTCCTCATGTTCTAACACACTATAGGCTTGTCAACGTTGATGTTGAGTATTATTTAATAATTAGTTGGAGTGAATTAATCTAATATTAGTTCAACTTGGGGTAGCTTAGAATATTTGAAACTATGTAGAATGAATTGCATACGTATAAATAAAACTGTGACATCAAGTTCTAATTAGAATGTAATTGAATTCTTGAAGGTAATAGTTAATGTTTATTGTATACTCAACTATGTTCCAGCAGTTGTATTTGGAGTAGTTTTCAAAACTCACCTACCTCCTGCAATTCCACATATATTGTATTGTTTTCATTGAATCTTTATCTTTTGATTTATTGTTGCGCACCCATATTTTATGTGTATATGATGTAAACCACTGGCTGCCACCGAGACCTATATCTAATGAGCTTAATGGAACTCACAGCGTATTCGGTTAGTTATACATGACTATTTGGTCATGGCTGAATGACATATGAAGTGGCTTCATCAATAAGCTTTTAGAGGGGAGCTTTATGCAGAAAGCCAAGTTTTTTCTAAACCTGCCCCTCCCTATAAAAGAAACACATTCCTTTCATCTATGAAAAAACCTCCCAAACAAAAACATTCCAATCTTTACATATAGATTAATCCACATAGATAGCTTTATCCATACACGGTTGTGTTGAATTCAAATGCCCACATGAAAACATACAAACAGATGAAAAAAAACGCAAGGCTATGATACAACACAAAGTTTATTGTAACACAAGTTAGATGTAAGAATCATTTTTAAGGGAAGGTTACCTGCGCATTGATTCCTTGTTCGTTGATGTATATCCGACCATGGATGTCACGACCCTAGGAATGATCACCACAAACAAAAATAACACAATATTATTAATTTATTAGATATTCTTGCTAGTTGCTACCTCTGGATGCATATTTTACACATTTCATAGAAGTAGTATCATCATTCTAGAAGGCATGCATATAGAGAAAAATGCAAACTCTAAACTAACTCTTTGCTTTTGTCTTACTAATTTAAGATTGTAAAAGCATAACACAACTATGAACTTCAAAAACATTTGCTAGCGGAATACTAATGAATTGAATCCCATTTATCGTTTTGTTGTAGAGAAGTTTCCATACAACCAATCGTGAATGATAAGAATACATCATGCAACTAACCAACAAATGTTATCATTCACTTCCATATTATAACCAAGCAACGACTTAACTACATCTAATTTACTAATTTTGGATGCCATATTGCCTATGAAATTAAAACGCGGATGCCATATAAAGAATCACCATAAGTTTAAAAAAAACATATTCAAGGCTATGAAAAGGTGGACCCCTCTTTATGGATAGCATCAATAGCCTCCTTTTAAACTCTTTATACTACCATCATAGTTTCATTCATTAGTGTCTCTCTTCACAGCCTTTTGAGTTATAAATTGTAATATGATACTTTATACAAACTGCAATTTAACTTTTGAAACCAATCCCACTACTTCTTTCTTCATATTCCTTTTGGGTAACCATTGGTTTCTAGGTCAGCTTACGTGCACCGACTAATCCCCGGGGGACCATAAATGGTCTAGAGTCAATGCAGGTGAACCTCCATGGCCACAAGAACAAGGGCTTTGGTGGCAACTGGATTCAAACCCGGGGAAGATGAGATTTCCACTAAATCCCCTGAGCCTTAACCACTTCTTTCTTCATGTTTGATACTCCCTCTTTCCAAAAAGATATGTATTTGAGTTTTGATGCCTAAAACACTAATCATCAACTTTATCATCAAAATGAATTCCTTATACTTCCATTGAAATCCTCATACACAAGATTATACATATTACAACATAAAGAGGGAGGTTCAAGGGAAAACCCCAAAAAAAAATTGAAAACCGAGGAACACCGGATAACCATTCATCCAGATGGCATGCACATGTGCATACAAGTAATTAAAGTTGTTTTTTGGTTTTTAAGCACGTGTGCATGTTACAAATTACTTGTATGCACATGTGCATACCATTCAGTTGAACAGAGTGTTCCTCCGTTTTCAATTTTTTTGCGGTTTTCCGCTGAACTGACCCTACAGTATAGTTGATGTTAAATTTGCGCATAATGCATATTAATCATACATACCTTCTTCTAGCCTATGAGCAAACAGATGATGACACCTTATTCGAAACAAAGCAATTGATATTAAAACAGCATCTATGATATGATTAACATCAGGAACTTGACAAAATATTAGCTATGATAAAACAGAAAATGCAAACCTGTAGAAACTCAAGGTGTTTAGAGACCTCCTCTTCTGGGTCTTTGATGAACACAAATCGGTAGAAATTAACAACTATAAAAACCCTTTCATCCTCCTCAGCTTTATTGTCTCCTCGTACCCAATTGGGTTCCGAAATCAATGACGATGATAATGCAGAAGTGCATTTACAAGCTAATAATCGAATATCAATACGCTTAATCCTCCTGAACTTAACTGGAATCGAATATGACGAACAAATTGTCAGATTTCTGACGCAATTCTTTCGAGTGATTGTGGCGGTACAATTGGGATTTTTTGGTGGAACACATGCTAGGGTTAATGTTAGAGAACCCATAATCGAACAAACGGGCAAATGGGTGTTGCGATTGGCAACAACTGATTATGGGTTTTGCTCGTCTCTCCGGTCTTCAATCCATTTATCCATTTCTTGTATCTTCTACTTCGATGTGCAATTTTTTATCATGTTTCGGATTTTCTTGAAATTTCCTATTTTTAACCAATTTGACAAATACCCGCTAATTTTGTAAGCTTTTGTAAACCTTGTATCCGTTAATATTTAAAAGAGACCGTGTTTCAATCGTTAAAAGATGAATATTATTTGGAAAAAAAAAAATTGTTTTTTAATAATTTTAAAATTCTTTAAATAATTTTGTATCTTGGGTCTTTCTTGACCATTCAGCACCCAAATTCCATTGTAAACAATTATCGAACAATTATATATATATTTTTTTGCATTATATCATGATAGTCTTTTAATCATTCTGACCACTTAATTATTTTACACCAAATCATTCAGCAACCGCCAAACAGCCCCTAAATGTTCAAGTCATCAAATGTTACAATATAAATTAGGGAGCGTAAGAAGATGACCAAACCAAAAATCCGATCAAATTTTGGTCATGGAAGACATGCCTTGAAATTTGGGTTTAGGATTTCGAATTGCTTTAGTTGCATGTTGGTCGGGTTTCATATTATGATCAATTGGGTTCAGGTACAATGTAAAAAGTATATAGAGGATGAAACTTGGGATCATGTCAGATAAGATTGTTTTCATCTGGCACGATTTTTTTCACTTGAAACTTCACAGCAAAACATTGTGAAGGTAACATTCACAATGTTTTTGCTGCGAAGGTTCGATTTTTTTTTACTTTCATAACGTTTTGTTGTGAAGTTTTCAAGTGTAAAAATTGTGTCACACATGTCTCACGAAAACAAAAACTTTGTCTCACGTGAACGCGCGCGCGCACACACAAACACACACACACACACACACACATATATATATATATATATGCATATTCAATTGATTTTGAGGATAGATTCAATAAGATTCATGAAATTGATATTATGTTTAGAAATTAAAAAAAACCCGGCTACGATTTAGAATTTTCGAAAGATAATTCATTTTTAGTCCTTTTTCTTTAAATACTATATATCCGTCCTTACGATTTTGAAATTATAATTTTCATCCCTATGATTTATAATTCATTACTTTTTTCGTCCTTATGATTAAAAATTTATTGTTTTTATTTGTCCCTATGATTTATAATTCATTTTTTAATTAGTATTTCATGCGTAAAAAATAGTGTTTTGGCCTCATAGACGAAAATTGAAATTTCAAAACCACAGGGACAAACTTCGCAATTTTAGCAAACCATAGGGACGAAAAACTTAATCTACTATAAATATATTTATATAATATTTAAATATTATATATGGGGTTTTTGGAGGGTCGGTGGTCAAAAATCAAACCCAACCCGAAATCAAATATCCAGCAAAAAGTTGGGCTTCAGATTTCAGGCCATTGGGATTTGCAGAAACACCTCATTCTCGATTCGAGGTTTGCACACCCCTAATATCAGTTGGTTATCCATGAAAACACGCATAAACTAGTTTTTTTGACACGTCGTTACATTTTAATGCAATTTTTACCTTTTTAAAACTCTTTTTGCATAGGCGGGCTCTTCGTACAATCGGTAGATCTGTTTTTTTGGTATAACACAGTTTCACATACAGTTGTACGTTACGTTCCTCCATACGCTACTTTAAAATTAGATATATTAAGTTCGTTTAATAACGATAGTTATATTGTGAAATTATGTTTAGATGATTGTATTGTTTTCAATAAGTTGCATCAAAATGAAACCAACTTTGTTTTGGTTCATGCTGATACTGGGTATAAATGAAACCAGGTTTTTCCGACTGGTACATGTTGGTGTTGATTTTGTACCAGAGATTGCAACTACGTATGTTTGAATACGTAAAACAGACAAAAATACGATTGATTCCCAATAAAGTCCATAAGTTATAATTTGGGCAAAAAATTGATTAACGACAACCCTAACCGGCCCCACACGAACCCCCCCCCCCCCCCCAATGACACCAGTGTGGATCATTTTTTGGTTCACTCCGCGGCTAAGGCTAGCAGGGCACCTGGGATCCAGCAAAAAACCTGTTGTGTATTTGAACAAAGTCATTCCATTCCTCTGCTAACTGAGCTACACGTCAAAGGTCCGAAGTTACAATGTTCAATACTTCAACAACTAATACAAATAATCAGAGAATAACGTGTTTTGCAAGAGATTCACAAATCATTTGATCCTTCAAACAAATAACAGAGTTATTGTTGGTCGCCTCATACCCTTGATTATAAGCATTATCTGCAAGATATAACATCGTGCATGAATGGACCAGATATACCGTCATTGCTTCTTCTCCGAGAAAAGAAGTTCGACCATTGTTTTTCGGTTTGATTCAGAAACTTTATTTCATTGGTCACGGGAACCACAAAGGACTACCTAAATTGATTCGTATCGTTTTGGCGGCATGGCCGAGTGGTAAGGCGGGGGACTGCAAATCTCAATTCTATTGCATTAGAAAGTGGGGAATTCAATCGAACGTATTTTCAAAACTTCCATTTTGATATATAAATATGTAACGTTTTAAACATTTAAGCACCTGGATAACTGGGTAAAACATTAACTCTTTATTCTGATAAACCACAATACATAAAAACCAATTATAGATTAAGATATCCATGTCAACTAATAATATTGAGTTGGATACCTCATCAATCACCACATCAGTATGATAATCGATTAATGCTTCAACCGATTTCATGAGTTGTTGTTTAAAATTTTACCTTTTAGATAACAAAATAGAAATATTTTACTTTTTCGATATCAAAATTACATTTCTTGAAATCATCTTCTATGGATGGTGATTCCATGGCCAAATCCTCAAAGAATGTTGAATTGCAATTGGAGTATTTGCCGATTAAACCCAATTCCTCCTCCTCCACTCTCACCATTTCCACTACCCATCACCAAAACCCTAAAATCGTTCCCAAATCGACCTCCATATCGCTTCATGGCATCCACAACTCAACAACATCAATCGACTTCTGACTTTCTGATGCTCAGACCATATCATCATCCTCCATGGGCATCTAATCTCAATCCAATTCCTTCTCACGCCTTCTCTCTTGGACATGTATGTCGAATTCCCCAATTTATCTATGTTAATCATGGTTTTTAATTGTTGGGTTTTTTTTCAAATTTTCAGTTTCCAACTCCAATTCACAAATGGAACCTTCCCAATTTGCCCAAGGATACTGAGGTTTGGTTGAAGGTAAGTAGCTCGTCTTCAAATATTGGTTGTACCTTGTTTAATTCATCTATGACGATATTGATCGATAGCAATCTTGCAGATCATTATTACTGAAATGTTTTCCAAATTGAGTTCTTATAGAGCACAGTCTAATGGTCTTATTATTATTGTTGAATGTTAAAATTTGTAATAGTTTGTATCACGAAGTTAAGCAAGTTGTACACAATGTTATTTCAAAGTAATTATGGACTTGATTGCTAAAGCTTCACCAGCATTAATATCAATTGATAAAGCTTGTAAGTCTTGGGGGCTGTTTGGTTGGTTTTCCATATTAAGTCTTGTATGGATAAAGTTGTCTATGTGGATAGTGGATTAATCTGTCTGTATAGGTTGGGAACTGTATAGGTTGGGAAGATTTTTGTTTGGAAGTGTTTTCTCATAGATGGAAGGAACATGTTTTTTTTTAATTGAGAGACATGTATGGAAAAAACTTGCCTTTCTGCATAAAGCCCCCCTAGAAGCTTATTGAATAAGCCACTTTCTATATCATTAAGACACTACCAATCATGTATAGCTGACCGAATAAGCTGCGAGTCCCTTAAGCTCATTAAGCTGCTAATAAACAGGCATCTATGGTGCTTTTTTTTTCCTGATGTTAACTGTCACTGTTAATACTATATTCAGTGACTGCAGAACTAAGGATTTCTGGTTGAGATACAAGTCACAAATCGAACACGAGTATGCTAGAAGTTGTTGTGAGTTCTATGTTTGAAGCTTCAAAACAGTTAGTTCTTAGTAGTTTGTGCTTACAACTTCTCTTTGGCTCACCCTTATCTCTAAAGGGCTACCTCACTTCACAAACCTTCGTTCATTAGTGATTTCTTCATTCTTTAGATGGCAGCGTGAGAGCTCTGAAATTCCATTCAGGTCCTTAGTTCCACTCGAAAATAGTGAGCAAAGCTCAACATTGCTAGTGAAGCTCTACGATAGAGGAAACCCCTGGTTGGGATGGGTAGGCCCACCACTTCACTTCTACTTACGCCCGGGCCAAGTCAGTGGGGGGACCCCTCCTCTCCCCCCAACAAAAGAAACTGTACCTGACAGTTTCCCTTCATATGACCTTGAATTGTTCTCAGATGCCCTGAGAGGCATCCTTTCCTTGTTTGTTGGGTTGGTTCACGCGCGCGCAAACGAGCACCGGCCGCAACAGCAGGAAACTATGACCAATAGAGTCAGACACTTAGCTACATCCGCACGCAAAAGGAATGTGGTTCTGGTTGAGGCTTTCTTTTCCTTATTAGTAAAGGGGGCTAGGGACGTTCACGGAGCCTGTGCCTTCCATACCACCGAAAGCTTGTTCTTGGGCGGATCCTGCTCCTAAAAATAAGGGATAGGGGTCCTGGGGCCGGGACTACCATATAAAAAGAGTCGTATAAAGAGAACCCGGCTGCCTATCTTTGGGTAAAAAACAATTTCTTTTGATTAGGATCACACATGTAATTGTTATCTTTTGAGGATTGTTAGGTAGTAAGTTTTATTATGTTGAGATGTTATTTCAGCTAATGGTATGGAAGGACATTATGCAACCCTTTTTTGTATGTGTATGTGTGTGTGTTTTTATCTGTTCTTAAGACGCTTTGGAGATATATATATATATATATATATATGTATGTATGTATGTATAGGGTTAGGTTAGGGGAAAACCGCAAAAAGATGAAAAACTGAGGAACACCTTGGTAACCATTCATCTGGACGGTGCATACCAGTAATTTGTAAGCAACTTCTCTTTTATCAATATTCTCTGGAAATATTAAATTCACATAAGTATTGCAGCGGAATAGCAGTGTATTTTAATATTTAATGAAGTACGTTAGAGTTTTCTTTACTCTCGTGGTTTACTTCAGCTTTTTGATACATACTGATGAAAACTTTTTCATTACGTAAGCGTGATGATCTTTCAGGTATGCAATTGAGTGGGAACAAGGTCCGCAAACTTGAATTCTTGTTAGCAGATGCTGTTGCACAAGGAGCAGACTGCATCATAACTATTGGCGGCATTCAAAGCAATCATTGTCGTGCAACAGCTGTCGCTGCCAAGTATTTGAACCTAGATTGTTTTCTAATTCTACGAACCTCAAAGGTTTTTTTAATTGTAAAACCATCCTTCAGTTTTTCTTAAGCTATGAATTTGATTCTAAGTTTAATTAATTGGGTATGGCTGGATACTCTGGGTCTTACTATGCAGGCTCTTGTGGACAAAGACCCTGGATTGACAGGGAACCTCTTAGTGGAACGATTGGTTGGTGCTCATATTGATCTTGTATCAAAGGAAGAATATTCAAGAATTGGAAGTTTGGTATGTTCAACATTAGTCGGTAGAATTTTCTTTTTGTGTTATTCAAGAGTTAGGGGTTATTTGGTTAGTTTTTCATTAAGTCTTATATGGATAAAGCTGTCTGCATGGACTAATCTGTGTAGCAAGGTTTTTATTTGGGAGGGTTGTTTCATAGATGGAAGGAACATGTTTTTTAATTGGAAGGAACAAGTTCGAAAAAAACTTGTCTTTCTGCATAAACCCCCCCCCCCTCTTAGAAGCTTACTGAATAAGCCATTTCTATATCACTAAGCCATGTATAGCTGATCAAATAAGTTGTGAGTCTTGTTAAGCTCATTAAGTATTTAAGTTGTTAACAAACAAATCCTAAAGTCCTGTATGGATAAAGTTGTCTGTGTGTACAAATCTATCTGTATAGATGCGGAAGGTTTTTGTTTGAGAGGGTTTTTTCATAGATGGAATAACCGTGTTCTTTAATCGGGAGGGACAGGTTTGGAGAAAAACTTGGCAATCTGCATAAAGCTCCCCCCCTAAAAGCTTACTGAATAAGCCACTTTCTATATCATTAAACCACTACCAAACAATCATGTATAGCTGACCGAATAAGCAGTGTCTCAATAAGCTTATTAAGCTGCTAACAAACAGGCCCTTAGTTGCATGCTGTTTAAGACCTCTTGGTTACTTGATAGAAAACCTACTTATTTTCCATATTAACAAGGCTTTTGGTCCTTTGATAGTGATTGTATAAAGGTTCACAAAGCTTCAATTGCTTGCACAAATATGGTTTTTTTTTTCATATCTGCCTAACTCTTCCGCTTGCTTAACTTTCAGACACTTACTAATTTGTTGAAAGAGAAGTTGATAAAAGAAGGAAGAAAACCTTATGTCATTCCGGTTGGCGGATCAAATTCCCTCGGGACCTGGTGAGATTGGATTTTAACATCTACATCTTATTTTTGAGCTTAATTTGTATCACACCCAATACACACTAGATCCTAATACAAGTATATGTGATTCCTTGCTTGATATATGATCAAAGGGTGTGGTTTTCATAGATTAGGTAAATGTTTTATAGTCTTGTATCGAGTTAAATTTGTCACCCAATCTTGACATGTTTACCTCAATGTAAATAGTACTTCCTTAAACCAAAATTGTTAAAAACTGTGAAATCAGGTGTTCATCGTATTTACTCATGGGTATATACAACTTTTTCTTTGTGTAGGGGATATATTGAAGCAATTAGCGAGATTGAGCAGCAGCTTCAGAAAGGGACCAGCAGAACAAGCTTTGATGATATTATTGTAGCGTGTGGCAGGTTTTACTCTTCTTTGTGTTATACTCGCTCTGTCCCAAAATAAATGCCCATAATGAAAAAAGCACACAGTTTTAGTAATATGTAATTATCACACTTTTTAATTAACTGAACAACAATTTTGCCTTCAATAATAGAGAGAGAAATTTTTTCCAACTCATAGTTACGGGTAGAATAGGAAAGCAGACATTTATTTTGGGACAAACTAAAATAGTAATATGGTCATTTTGGGATGGAGGGAGCAACTTTCAGCATGATCTAATTTCTATTAAGCATGGTTTTTAAGTTATCACTCTAGCTGAACTCGATATGTGTCTTTTTCATAAAATGTGCTTCATTGATATATTGGATAGAATAATGAAGCATGATTGAAGTGAAGATCTAGTTTAGCATATAAAAAAGATGAACCGCCTTATTTTCTTCAGTGATCCTTTCTTCATGCCACCTTTTCTTTAGTTACATTGCTCATTATAATAACTAACCGAGTGCATACACGTATAAAGATCTTGAAATTCTCTACTTCAAAATGAAGCAAAAAGGAATAAGCATATCTTTAGTAAATTTGTTTTTGCAGCTCAATAATTCAGTGTTGTGAGATCCTACAACGGTTGGGGAGGGGAACGAAGGTTACCTTACAAGGGACTGGATACCTTCTTTATCATAATCATTTTAAAACCGTCTAGGTGTGGACAAAGCGGACAATATTTGGTACGGTTGCCCTATGATGTTACAAATGGTATCAAAGCTAGGAACCGGACTGCCAAACTGGTGTGCGAGTGAGGACACTCGGCTCCTTGAGGGGGTTTGGATTGTGAGATCCCACAACAGTTGGGGAGAGGAACAAAGGTTATCTTATAAGGGACCGGATACCTTCTTTATTTGACGCGTTTTATAACCGTGAGTCCAGATTTGGACAAAACAGACAATATCTGGTATGGTTTTCCTGTGATGTTACAAATGGTATCAGAGCCGGGAATTGGGCTGGTGTTCAAGCAATGACGTTGGCCCCTGAGGGGGTTTGGATTGTGAGATCCCACATCGGTTGGGGAGACGAACAAAGGTTACCTTATAAGGGACTAGATCCCTTCTTATCTGATGCATTTTAAAACCATGAGTCTAGGTTTGAACAAAGCAGATGATATCTGGTTGCTATGGTATGCAACAAATAGGTATTGTGAGATCCCACATCCGTTGGGAGAGGAACAAAGGTTACCTTGTAAGGGACTGGATACCTCCTCTATCAGACGCGTTCTATAACCATGAGTCCGGGTGTGCACAAAGCGGACAATATCTGATACAGTTGCCCTGGGATGTTACAAGTGTAGATATAAGAATGATGAATTCTTTGTCTTTTTTCTTGGTTTTGCAATGGGTTTTTGTCCTTATTAACTTTCTTTTATCCATAACTTTGTCATTAAATTGTTAACCATGTTTGTGGCTGGAACCCGATTAAATCATTTTCATTGGTTCTCTCTTGTTTTGATTTCTAGTGGTGGTACGGTTGCTGGTTTGTCAATGGCTTCATGGCTAAGCGAACTTAAAACAAAAGTACATTTCACATCCGTTATTCCGATCTAATTTCTTTGCTTAGGGAATCAGAACTGTTAATTTGATCTACTGCAAATTAATGGCAGGTTACGGCGTTCAGTGTATGCGACGACCCCGATTACTTTTATGATTATGTCCAAGGTCTACTTGATGGACTTGAAGCCGGAATCAACTCACGTGATATAGTCAAAATTGAAAACGTAAGAACATAAAGTTCTTCGGGTTCATATCTGTTTTCGTTTTACCGGGTGTGGATGTATAATTTCTCACAGCCTCTTCTTTTATTTGAGCCCGGGCACCACCCCCTCTGCCAAGGATGTGTGGTGGGGGCGCTCCAGAAGGTGGCAAAATACCCTTTTTGGACCTCCACCTCCTGTGTGCTATCAGTCTCTGGAGGCGGATGCGGCCACCTGGCTCCTCCCACCACCACCAGTTTCTGCCTGCTACCACCAGCGCTAGTAGATGTTGCCTGCCACCGCCCACCTGCACCTGATGTAACCTCAGGTCCCTTCCAAACCCGTTGAGCTCTTTGTTATCTCCGGGATATCAGAAAATACAAGGAACATCAACCAAAAAGACGAAAAAAGTCACTTGAAATCAACCAAAAAACATAAAAATCCCTCAAAACAGTGGAATTCAGCTAAAAACACATCGGACGACTTTGCGGGCCTTTGATCCACCTTAAAGATGCACTCACTCGGCAAAAATCCTGGGCCCGCCGCTGCACATAACTATAGCACTTTTCATATTTTGATGTTTGTTTTATGCTGTTTTGACAGGCCAAAGGACTCGGCTATGCCATGAGTACAGCCGAGGAGCTTAAATTTGTGAAGGAAGTTGCTGAAACTACTGGTGTGATTTTGGACCCTGTTTACAGGTTGGGATTCTATATGCTTTTTGCCTTGTCATGTGTCCGTTTTTACTATACATGACTGTTTGGTAGTGGTTTAATGATATAGAAAGTGACTTATTCAGTAAGCTTCTAGGATGGAGCTTTATGCAAAAAACCAAAAAGTTCCTAAACCTGCTCCTGGCAATTAAAGAACAAGCTCCTCCCATTTATGAAAAAACCTCCCAAACAAAAATCTTCTCAATCTATACAAACATATTTATCCATACGAGACTTAATGGAAAACCAACCAAACAGCCCCTTACTCTCGCCCGTCCAGTCCCTGTCTGCCTACCAAATACACCCTTTAGTTACAATAATGAATTTATCGATTTGCCAGCCCATAACCATAATGGGTGACATATACCATCATGTTTATGTGTTCTCCATCCGAAATCATTGCATCAGCTTACTTATACCTTGGTTTCGTTGGGTTGTTTGTAGCGGAAAGGCAGCTTATGGAATGATGAAAGACATGGCACAAAATCCGACCAAGTGGGAAAGCAGAAAGATCCTCTTTATACACACCGGAGGCCTCCTTGGTTTGTTTGACAAAGCCGAAGAAATTGCCTCATCGGTCGGAGGATGGCGTAGAATGGACCTCGATGAGTCTATCCCACGAAAAGATGGCACCGGGAAAATGTTCTAAACATGGTAAGCAATACCCGCAACCGTTCGATCGGTCCAAGGTTGAGACTTTGGCATTGATGAAGCGTTTCTATTTATGGATCACAAAGGGTAAATTGGTAATTTTAGGAGCTCATGTGTTATTTTCCTTTGCAATGAATGTAACAAAAGCCATGAATATATAAACCTATAATGGATATATTAGTGTCTCTTGGCTCTTTTACATGACAATGATTGCAGGAGGATTCAATAAAAGTTGTGTTTCAACTGTATATGTCATGGGTCATGTCAATTTTCTTGAAGAAAAAAAATCTGCGGTTGCATTTGTTTTTTAGGAGGTGTTAAAGTCTGATTTTACTTTTGATTTATAAGAAGTGGTTTTGAAGTCTGAAATCTGGATCAGTAAGATTGCTTATTTTTTTACGTTTGAAGTCTGAAATTTGAATCGGTCAAATTAATGCAAAAATATAAAAGATAAATTGATTTTTATAAAGTATAAAAGATGAATAGTTTTTGCTAATAAATCATATGAACCATTTGATAGAGAGTGAACTAAAATTAAAAGATACTAATATGTTTTTTTTTATTATATTTTATTAATAAATATTTTGAGAAAGAGAAATAATATTTTATTAATATATAAAATATTTTAATAATATAATTGATATTGTAATTTTTAAGATAAAAAATCTATTAAAATTAAATATAATTCTTTAAAAAAAATTTAAATCTTGATTTTTTATTTAGAAAAAAAAATTGTTAGAGGCAATGATGTTGACTAGAATAGTCAATCTCTCGATCTCAATTAAGCCACATTTTTAAATCAATTCTAAACTAATCATTCTTTACGTAAATACGTTTTTTTCTATGTAAATTTGTATTTTTCTTTTTGCAAACGCCAATTATTATTTTTTTATCAGAAATTATCGTTTACACAAATACATGACAAATTTATATCAATGAGGGAGATTCTGGAGAAAGCCCCTAAAAATGAAAAATTGAGAAAAACCCTGATAACCATTCATCTGTACAATATACATATATGCATACAAATAATTGAAACTGTTTCTTGGTTTTTCTGTACGTTTGTATACCAGACATATTTATATCCACATATATATACCGTACAGATGAATGGTTACCAAGATATTCCTCAGTTTTTTATTTCTTGGAGTTTTACATACAATCAAGATTGACAATTAACGGCTACCAGGATGTTCTTCATTTTTTCTCATTCTTTTATGATTTTCCCGTTAACCTGGAACTTTATGTAAAAAATGACTACTTTAAAACTGGCTTTAAAATATGCTAAAAAAGTGAATGAAAATAGAAAAAAAAATAGCCTTTTTAGTCACTAAAATAGTAATTTTGAAATTAAACCCTTCTAAATAAAGGGTGTTTGAGATTGCTTATTTGAAACAACTTATTATTTTTTTGTATAAGTCTTTATCAACTTATTATAAGTTTGAATGATTTAACTTCTTTAAAACTTTTTATTACCAATTTGATACTAATATAAATTATTTATTCAAAAATATTTATTACTAATACCACATCAAAATAATTATTTTTATAAACAATCATAAATTCGTGTTAAAAACAAAAAATAAAGAAAATTTTGCTTTCCTAAGAGTGTACGTAACTCACAACCCTGCCAGATCAATGAGATCAAGATGCCTCCTTTCTTTATTCTCATCCCAAATTATTTAAAACCCATTTTACTCAGATTCCAAGATATTCAATTCCACCATCTTCTGCATCATCTTTCCTTCATCTTTCTTTCTGGGTATGTCTTGTTCACTCGGTTTAACCCATTTCAATGGCTTCAATCCCTCCGGCGTCTCTTTTCCGGCGTCTCGCCGTCGTTTCAATGGCGGAACAAGACTTGGTGGTGCTTTGAAGATCTTTGCTTCTTCAGACACCAAACAACAAGAACCTGATCTTAGCGTCACCGTCAATGGCTTGCATATGCCCAATCCTTTCGTTATCGGGTCGGGTCCACCCGGTACCAACTATAAAGTCATGAAGAAAGCTTTTGATGAAGGATGGGGTGCAGTCATAGCCAAAACAGTACTGTTTCTTGTTCTTGATTTATTCCATAATTCCATTTGATTATAAGAAATTGAACTCTCATAACTTCGTGGAAATCTATGTTTTCCTTGTTTGAAAATGGGTTAATGTGATTGATATGTCTACAAGTAAACAGTGATCTTGAGTTCAAATTTGACTTTCAAGAGTCAAACTACTTGTTAGCTTCACATTGAATCTAGGATCATTTGCTAGATCAGAGAAAAACTGATCACAATCATATTGTTTTTAGATTCATATTTGATGTGGGATCTTTGAAGGATTCATAGTTGGATCTTTTCCAAAGTTGTTATTGTAATGAATCGATGAATGGGGTCGAAATCACGAAAAGGGAATCGAAGATCCAACCATATTAAGTCAACTGTAGTTAGGGTTCTTTAGATTTTCAAGAATTTGGTGTATAATTGATCATTGTTTTGATTCATGATGATGATGATGATCTGTGAATGGGTTCTGAGTCACAGATGGGAACCAAAGATTGAACCACATTAAGTCAACTGTTTTGATTCTTGATGATCTGTGAATGGTTTCAAAATCACAAAAAGGGAATCGATCATTAAACCTCATTAGTCAACTTACAGTACTTAATTTTCAAGATTTTAGTGTAATAATGAAGCATTGTTTTGATTCATGGTGATGATCATCTGTGAATGGGTTCAAAATCCCAAAAGGGCCTTCATTTTTCAAGATTTTAGTGTAATAATGGAGCATTTTTTTGATTCATTATGATGATCATCTGTGAAGACGAAGGATTGTGTGAGAATAGGAGTTAAGGTGAGAAGTGTAAGAAGGGATTTGGACCCTTTTATCACTTTTAAAATCTCACCCCTACTCCATGAATTGTGCGTATCATGGGAATTGATCCGGTGCATCTTGGTGCACCGCACTAGTGTTGATCTTCAATTAGGATTGATTCAAGGGTGAAGATCCCTTCTTACCCTTCTCACCATGACTTCCATCCTCATCAGAACCCAACCCCATCTGTGAATGGGTTCAAAATCTCAAAAGAGTCCTTCAATTTTCAAGTGTGTAGCGTAATAATGGAGCATTGTTTTGATTCATGATGATCATCATCTGTGAATGGGTTCAAAATCTCAAAAGAGTCCTTCAATTTTCAAGTGTGTAGCGTAATAATGGAGCATTGTTTTGATTCATGATGATCATCATTTGTGAATGGGTTCAAAATCCCAAAAGGGTCCTTCAATTTTCAAGATCTTAGCATAATAATGGAACATTGTTTTGATTCATGATAATCAGCATCTGTGAATGGGTTCAAAATCCCAAAAGGGTCCTTCAATTTTCAAGATTTTAGCGTAATAATGGAGCATTGTGTCGATTCATGATACGTGAATGGGTTCAAAATCCCCAAAAGGTCCTTCACTTTTCAAGATTTTAGTGTAATAATGGAGGGTTGTTTTGATTTATGATGACGATATTATCTTTATCGGTCGAAGTTCCTAGCTTTAAACTGCAATCTTCTTCAGGTGTCACTAGATGCTGCAAAAGTTATCAACGTAACCCCTAGATACGCTCGACTACGAGCAGGAGCAAATGGCTCAGCCAAGGGGCAGATTATCGGGTGGCAGAATATTGAACTTATAAGCGATCGGCCTTTAGAGATAATGTTGGACGAATTTAAACGATTGAAAGAAGAGTATCCTGACAGGATACTAATTGCGTCCATCATGGAGGAGTACAACAAAGCCGCATGGGAGGAGCTTATTGACCGAGTGGAGCAAACAGGGATTGTAAGCACACGATCCTCTCATTCATCTACGTTTTGTAAATAACATATGTGGCTTCTTGTTTACTTACAGCTTAATGAGCTTTATGGTCTAGCCGGCTTATTCGCTCAGCCATACAGGAGTTTTCTTTACGTCTTCATTGTTAAGCCATGAAGCCAAAATGGCTATATGGAATAAGTCAAAACCCATAACTTGCCCCCGTTAAGCCACAAGTTAATAGTTTAATACCCAAAAATGCCCAGAAATGATCCAACCCTCTCTCTTTGCCTCCCTCAAACCCATCGGTCTCCTGTCTCTCAGACAGACATTTACACAGACAAATTTAAGGGCCTTTTTGTTAGGAGCTTATTCGGTCAGCTATATATGACTGTTTGGTAGTGGCTTATTCAGTAAGCTTCTAGAGGAAGCTTTATGCATAAAGCCAAGTTTTTTTTTTTCCAAATATGCTCTTCCTTGTTAAAAAACATGCACATTCCATCTATGAGAAAACCCTCCCAAACAAAACCTTCCCAATCTAGACAGACATATTAATCCACACAGATAGCTTTATAATGGAAAACCACTACCAAACAGTCATATATAGCTGACCAAATAAGCTGTGAGTCCCATTAAGCTGCTAACAAACATGCCCTTAATGGGAAAAAAGTAAACCGCCCCTAAACCTTTCTTGCAAACCGGGGGTTTTCTTGGAAACAATCTCCCAGTCCTTTGGGATGGAGGTAAGGTTTGCGTACATCGTACCTCTCGAAATCATACCTTCGGGTGGGATATACTGTGTTTGTTTGGTTATTTAAGTGCATTGCATTCAACGTAGTCCTTTTCATTACATAATTGTTCGTTATATTGTCTTTAGGATGCTATTGAAGTCAATTTCTCTTGTCCCCACGGTATGCCCGAAAGAAAGATGGGTGCCGCAGTTGGACAAGATTGTGATCTATTGGAAGAGGTATGTGGTTGGATCAATGCAAAAGCCACGGTTCCCGTTTGGGCCAAAATGACTCCAAATATCACGGATATCACTCAGGTATGCAAGTTCAATTACGGGTTCTTGTAAATGGATTTAGTTAAATGACCTTTTCTATTAGAATCGCCATCTTTTTTGAAGTTTGTTTTTAACTCAATAACCTTCAAATGACATGTGCCTCCCATTAAACGCCCCCGCCCCCGTAATATATTGATAAAACACATTAGGCTCCTACTTAAGGTGGGGGCATAGATATCCGACATGCCATCAAGATGTGAGGGCTTCTTCGATGTAGATACGTCACAATACTTGTTATTTATTGTCACTACCTCTTCGTGTCAGGATTGGGTAATTTGCACGCCTGTTGCCTTCCTCGAATGTGGTAGCCGTTTCTGATTGCCATCTACTCTATATTATCTGTAAGATAATATGTAGTAGATGTTCTTTTATCTGAACGTACGACTGCTCTATCCTTTGAGGTAGATGACATATCTGCATACAACTCACCCCCAGACCCTACTTTCAATTTTAATATACCGAGTTCGTTTGGTCTGGATTTTTATCTGAATGATTTAGGCGTGTTTCCACCACAAGTTTCGTACGAAACATATCGTCATACGTATTTGTTGTTATCTACTTACGAATACAATCATGACCTGAAAATTTTCCGTTATAGCCCGCTAGAGTGGCTCTGAAATCTGGATGTGAAGGTGTAGCTGCGATTAACACGATCATGAGTGTTATGGGGATTAATTTGAAGACATTACATCCGGAGCCATGTGTCGAGGGGTTAGTATCGAGGACAAAACGTGTTTTCTTGGCGTTATTTTGCTTTGGGAACTTACCTTTTTTGCTTGTTATGACTCAGATATTCGACTCCCGGAGGCTATTCTTCGAAGGCGGTCCATCCGATTGCTCTTGGAAAAGTAATGAGCATTGCACAAATGATGAAATCGGAGTTTCAAGATGGAGACTATTCGCTTTCCGGGATTGGAGGTGTCGAGACGGGCGGTGATGCTGCTGAATTCATTCTTCTCGGGGCAAATAGCGTTCAGGTTCGGTTTTCTGTTTACCAAGATCGTAATTTACTCATCTCGTTAAGGTTTTATTGTGATTAGCGCAATAACGTCTTGTGGGACCTATATCTGTGTGGAATTTACTGGGTTTGTTTAGTTTGGTTTTTACTAGTCAAACTCGTGTTCCAAGCCATACACAAGAGGCCAAATGTCCATGATGAAAAAAGCACATAGGTTTATAAATTTCTTATCATTACACTTTTTGATTAATTAAATGACAGTTTTACCCTTAATAATAGACAAAATAATGGATTTCTCTATTTTGTAATTAAGGGTATAATTGGAAAGTAGGTGGTTGCTCTTAGAGGTATGCAAAACCCGAATAGTCCAAAACCTGAACCGTAAATAAGGTGTTTGTGCACAACCCGAATGCCTCGAAATCCAAAAATATGAAACCCGACTTTTTGGGGGATATCTGGGTTCGGGTTTGGTTTGATTTGATTTTTGGCCATCTGACCCATCTGAAAACTGGAAATATTATATAAATAGATTTATCTATCTAATTATCTTGCGAAAATCCTAATCTTAGTCGGTCATAATCTTTTTCAATTTCTAAACCTAATATCAATTTCATTAGTCCTCTCAATCGATCGAGTATATATATGGTTAGGTTCAGGAAAAACCAAAAAAAAAAGAAAAATTAGGGAACACCCGTAACCATTAATCTGGACGGTATGCAGATGTGCATACAAGTAACTTGTAAGCAATTTGTCCGATATGCGTTATGCACACGTACATAAAACCCAAGAAACAACTTCAATTACATGTGTGCACATGTGCATATCGTACAAATAAATGGTTATGAGGGTGTTCCTTTTGGGGGTTTTCCCTAGAAATCCATCTCTCTGTGTATATATACACCCGAACCCAACCGATTTTCACTCTTAGTTGCTTTGAAAGTGGACATTTATTTTGAAATAAATTAAAATAGAAATATGAACACTTATTTTATGGAGAGGGAGTAGTGAAAAATATTTTTTCTACTCTGTAACCGAAAATCCCGTGAATTGATTTGTGATTGTAGGTCTGCACGGGCGTGATGATGTACGGGTACGATCTCGTATCAAAACTCTGTTCCGAGCTCAAGGACTTCATGAGAACTCACAACTTCTCGACCATAGAAGAATTCAGAGGGTATGCAGTCGACATTCACGATTTTCCTTCAGTTTCTTATAACCCGAAACCATATTTGTTCTGAAAACTCGAGTTCGTTTTGTGCAGCACATCGCTTCAGTATTTCACGACGCACACGGAACTCGTGAGAATACAACAAGAAGCGATCCGCGAACGACGGGCCATCAAGAAAGGGTTGCAATCCGATAAAGATTGGACTGGAGATGGATTTGTGAAAGAAAGCGAAAGCATGGTTTCAAATTGATCAAAAGATTGAAGGATTTATAAGAAAAAAGTTGTTAATTATCGCGTAAATTGAATATTTTAAGTGTTTTACGTTCAGGAAAGATTTCGTGTAAATTACGTATTCAGCGGTTATAAATAAATTGATTGTTATTTGAGTACCACTGTATACCCGTTGTAATATACTGTGATACCATTTGAGTACCACTGTATATCACAATGAGTATCACATTGTGTATCTTTGTGATTACTTGGTACCTGTCGCATTTTTGTTCACCGGAGGCCGGAAATTGGAGTTCGGAGAGAGAAGAGAGGAGTTTTTTAAAATACTTAAAATACCCTCTAATTATAATTTTAACTCAAACTACCGTAATTATTAATTTTCTAATTTATCCGTTGATTTGTGGTTGAGATTGGATCTTACAGTTACCACAAACTAATCAGTTCTCATTTGATTAAGCCTCTATATATGAGTCTAATCAAATGAGAACTATTTAGTTTGTGGTAACCATGAGATTCAACGTAAACCAATCATTCATGATAATTAATATGATTTCTTAAAATAAATATACGGGTAAATTAGTAACCATGATTTCTTAGTAAAGCAATATGATTTCAAGTTATTTTAATTAGTTTAGAATTCCAATTTTGCATTTACTCTCAAACCCTCAAATTCCTTTCTCTCTATCTTCCCACCAGATCTGATTCAAGCCCAATCGAGTTTAGTTTTTAAGTACTCGCGAGTTTTCGAATTGAGTTCGAACTTGAGAAATTACTACCGAGTTCGAGTCGAGTATATTGATACTCGAGCTCAACTCGCATCATTTACACCCTTATACACATCTACTTCATAAATGGAGTGTTTGGGATTGTTTTTTTGAAACAACTTATGTTTTTCTACAAAAGTTCTTATCAAGTTATTATAAGTTAAAGTGATTTAACTTTTTTTCAAAAACTTCTTATTACTGGTTCAGCATCTGTACAAATTGTTTATCCAAACACTCAAAACTGTTTATTACCGATATTACACCGGAGTACGTCAATAAGTTATTTTTATAAGCAATCCCAAACACCCCCAAACTAGGGTAAAAATGAACAACTATAAATGAATTAGAGTCTCCGGAACGACTATTTTGAACCATATTTTTGGGGATTGTAGATTTTTATGTGATGGTAACAAACTTAATGGAAACGATGACTGAATCAAAATGAAGGGGAGAATTTGTTAGCAACAATTCCGGTTATCCCTCTTTCTTTCTTTTTTTAAATCAAAACAAGTTCACACAAACCCTAAAAAAAACCCTAAATTAGATTTAGGACAAATTAGAGCAGAAATTAGGATTCTTATTATTATCCATTAAAATGTCGTCTCTTCTTTCAGATCTCATCAATCTCGATGTTTCTGGTTGCACCGACAAGATCATTGCAGAATACGTATGGTTAGATCTCTCTCCCTCTCTCGATCGATATGTATATGTATATGTATATGTATATGTATATGTATATGTATATGTATATGTATATGTATATGTATATGTATATGTATATGTAGGGTTGGATTCACGTGTACCACTCGAAATTTCACAGAATTAAAGGTAAAAGAAACCGAACCTTCACTTCAGAGTGTTTTGCTGTAAAGTTTCAAGTCTAAAAAAGTGGTTTCACGGGTCTCACGAAAACAGACTAAAACATACTGATCTCATGTGATCCCAAGTTTATATATGTATATGTAAATGTATATGTATATATATTCAAATAATCATATGAAAGGGATGGGTTCACGTGAGATCAAGGTTTTTTCGTGAGACCCGTAAGATTAATTTATTTTCATTGATAACTTTATAAGCTAATGATCTAATGGTCTAAAATTGCACGGTGACAATTTTGTGATTATTGAGAAGTCTCGTGGTGTTTATGAATGTTCAGATTGTCATATTGTAGATCTAATCCAAGGGTTGAAATTTGGTCTTATAGGTTTCACGAAAAACCCTTGGTCTTACATGATCCCAAGTCATCATATGAAATCGGTTTATTTGTTAACTCATTTTTGAGGATGTACCGTATATTAGGTCTAGATATCTAAACTATCTTGATATAAACTCGAACGACCTCAAATTTTGGTTGATACCTAAAGGCAATTCAGAGTATCGATTCTTTAAAATGGAGAATCAAAAATCAAAATCTTGAAAAATATATTCATCTCCTAACAGTTTTTCGTTTTAAATATTACAATATGAACTGTATATTAAAATATTCAATACATTTCATAAAATATAATTGGAAAATTTATTGGAGATGCTCTCACATATTAAAAGTGAGATTCATATCGAATATATACTACGTGTATAAACCTTAAATATTATGATAAATAATAATAAATATTATCTATCATAAATATCTGTCACGATATGTATATATTATGAATATCTGTCACGATATTTAATATTATCTGTTATAAATATCTGTCACAATATTTATCATGAATATTTGTTTTGTTAATGAGTATTGTTTATGTTGCTAACTTTGTGATCAACGGACAGGATCGGTGGATCTGGTATGGACCTAAGAAGCAAAGCCAGGGTAAAATTTATTTTTCACTTTTCTTTAGAGTAAGGGGCCGTTTACTAAACGTTTATTTGGTAAGTGCTTGCTGGATAAATTTTCTCATCGGATGAACATGACAAGGGTCAAGAATCTTACCGGGTAAGAGCGATGAGAAGGATGGAGAATCTTACCCGGTAGGTGAAGATGACGACTCTTACCCAGATAAACGCTTACCCGGTAAATTGTTGCATTCGATACGTTTTGATGTACTAAAATCTTTCGCATCAAAATAAATTATAGTGTTGACTCATATCGGTAAACACTTACCGGGTAAGCATTTGGGTAAACAACCCCTAAATAATATATTTGGTGCAAGTGGTTTACATGTTATAACTTTTCAAGCTTAAATTTTTTTTAAATAATTATGGATTAAAAGCCTGTTATTTATATTTTATAACGTTTTTGGTCCCGTGCCCTAACTCTATTAATATCTCTTCGTTAACTCATTTAACGTCGGGATGTTTTAGTTATTTTGCCTGTTTTTCTATTTTTTATAAAATAAACTATATATAATTATTAAAATAATTAAATTACATTTTTATTAATCGATGAAGGATTTGTAATGGAATGAATTTAAAATCATTGGTGTTTTTGGTTTGTACGATTTAGAATGGAATTGGATTCCATTATTTATAAATAATTATTAAAATAATTAAATTACATTTTTATTAATTGATTATTACAAAACAAACGTTTTTGACATTTTTTAGAATCTTAGTGCATACAATCCTACGAAATCCCGTGAAATTTCGAACGCCTTATAAGGATTTCAAAATCCTCCTATGTTTATATGATTTCAGTTAAATCCTAGGATTTCAAATCCGGACCAACAAACCAAACATGGGATTGGAATGGATTTGAAATCCAAATCTCCCCAAATCCATTCCGTTCCTGCTAACCAAACGGAACCTATGTCTATGAGAACTGATTAAAAGATATTTTTTGCGTGATTCTTTTTCATTGAATGGTAGGATTTAAGATATTGTTTCACATATATTTGTTTGATAACGTGGTATTTTCACATTTATTTGTTTCACATTGTAAAACTGTTTAACGTGTATTTTTCGTTTCAATATATGAACACAAATATATGTGAAACGATAGTTTAACTCATAGCCTTTGATGAAGAAAAAAATCATGTAAAATATTTTTATATCTGTTCTCACGGGTTTGTAACCTTTTCGTAGTTTCTCTTCGATTATCGTCATAGGGATGGGATCGGGAGAGAACTCTGAAAAAGGAAAGAAACCGAAGAACTCATCAAAACCGTTAGATTGAGATGATCCAAGGGATGTCATAAAAAAGGTGGTTATAACTACCTTTCTTAAAAAATACAAACATTTCCTTTTAATTTTTAAACCAAAAATCAGCGAAATACAGATTTTCTTTTTGAAAACATAACTAAACAAGTTTCACAAAACAAAATAGGAAAAGTGTTCATAAACGAACACCATCCAACTTAAAATGGAAAACATAACTAAAGATCGGAAACACTATTTTCACCACTATTTAGCATTTGTCCCGTATCCAATATTGCGCTGCTAAGCACATGGGATATATAGAAATATCTCCGACTCTTCACCACAATAATGTTTACGTGGAAGGTTCAGACGAGAACGCTAACTATTTGATAAAACAAAAAAAATGTTGTCAATGTACAAAATCACATGTGATTTTAAGCGAACGACTTTTGAAGCCGCTTAAGTCGTAGTGCAAAGTCGTCCGGATCATGTATGATTTGTTATGTGAATCATATATGATTTTATACATTAACGACCTTTTTTCTTGTTTTCTTAAATAGTTAGCGTTCTCGTTTGAACTTGCCCCTGCTGTTTATATTGTATCGTCGGTGTATAAAAAGTAAAGTGATGTATGTTTTCGCTATTAGACCCTTCCTGGAGTTGTTTCTGATCCTTCAAAGCTACCAAAATGGAATTATGATGGATCAAGTACCAATCAAGCCCCCGGCGACAATAGTGAAGTCATCCTATAGTTCGTTTCCTCTCTCGTATCAGAACTTCAAACTATATCTATATACGAATATACATATATACATATAAGAGTAGAGTTGGGTTCACGTGAGAGATGATTTTTACACTTGAAACTTCACAACAAAATGTTTTTGAAGGTAAAAAAAAGCCGAATCTTCACAGCAAAAACACTGTGAAGGTTACCTTCATAGTGTTTTGCTTTGAAGTTTCAAGTGTAACAATCATGTCTCATAAAAACAGTCTTGTCTCACATGATCCCAAGTCTATAAGAGCATGTTCAAATGAGAAACCATAAATATTTTGAGAACATAAAAGAACCAACTATTATACATATCTATCAAGATATTCATTATGAATAATGAAAACATCATGATATATTCATGATGTTTTAGGGTTATTCATCATGAATAGTTTATGAAATAGCTAGTTCTCAAAATATTCACGTTTTTCATTTGAAACTGTCCCGATAAGCATGTGTATGTATGTATGTATGTATGTATGTATCTTCGTATGTCGGCTAATACCTTTTTCTGTTGGCCGTAGTCCTCAAGCGATATATAAGGATCCATTCAGGAGAGGCAACAACATTCTTGTAAGTTTGTGTTTTAAACTCGTTCGGGATAACTTAAAGATTATAAGTTTGTTGTTTATCGGGTCATGAAAGATCCTTTTTTCTTTCTAAAAAACATATTTATAGGTAATGTGTGATTCATACACGCCGCAAGGAGAACCACTTCCCACTAATAAGCGTTACAATGCGACAAAAGTATTTAGCCATTCCGATGTCGTTGCAGAAGAACCCTGGTATGTATGTATATATGCATGTAATGGGGAGAGTTTATAGAACCATAAATATATTTGAAAATCGTGAGAACCGATATAAGTGTGTGTGTGTATACGGATTAGGTTCAAGGGAAAACCGCAAAAAAATGAAAAACTAAGAAACACCTTAATAAATTTCATCTGTAAAGCATGCACATGTTCATAGAAATAATTTGTGAGTAATGTTTCCGGTATGCATGCACATTTGCATAGAAACCATGAAACATTCAATTACCTTGCATCATCATTTATGTGCATCCAAGATTCAAGATCCCTTATTACGCTTCTCATCTTAACTCTACTTATCACTGGAATCCAACCGTATATATAGGGTTGGGTTCACATTAGATCACCCGTGAGACCACTTTTTCACATTTGAAACTTCACAGCAAAACGTTGTGAAGGTAAAGAAAAGGCCGAACATTCACAGCAAAAACACTGTAAAGGTTACCTTCATAGCGTTTTGCTGTGAAGTTTCAAGTGTAAAAAAGTGATTTCACGGGTCTCACGAAAACAGATTGGTCCCACATGATCCCAAGTCTATATATATATGTGTGTGTGTGAATAACAATTGTAATTGAAAGATTGTTTCTATCTTACCAATGAATGAAAACAGGTTTGGCATAGAGCAGGAGTACACTTTGTTGCAAAAACATGTAAATTGGCCACTTGGGTGGCCAATTGGAGGGTTCCCTCCACCTCAGGTGTTTACTTGCACCATCATTTATGTTTTTTCTAAACGGTTAAAATATACGCATCTTGTTAACGATAAATCTCGAACCTACGGGTTTGGACAGGGACCGTATTATTGTGGGACCGGTGCCGATAAGGCCTTTGGCCGAGACATTGTTGATGCACATTACAAAGCTTGTCTTTATGCCGGAATCAATATCAGTGGCATCAACGGAGAAGTTATGCCCGGCCAGGTACCGTTATGTTTATACGAACCCAACAAATTAAAAAAAGACAACTTTAAGAGTGCGCTTGGTATCCAGATAGGACAAAACAGCTGTTCAGCGTTTGATAAGATAGAAATGGACCTGAAAAAATTGATAAAATGACTAGTTTACCCCTAATGAGTTGTTTATATATTTTGATTAATTTGTTTAATTTATTAAATTATATTGAAATAAATATTTTTTATAACATAATATATCATTAGAAAGTTTTCATCAAGGCGATTAAAATGACACCAAAATAAAAAAGTTTATGTTGTTTTCAGTTTTTATTTTATATCTTTTCTATATTATTTTATTATTATTATTAATACTTAATAAATTACACAAGTTAATCAAAATATAGAAACTGTATAAAAAAAAAATTAAGGACAATAAAGTTAAAGTTTAAAGAGCATAAAATACAATAAATTAAATTTAAAGGATGAATAAAATGTAAAGAGGGATGCGTATTTGATGTTTTAGAAGAGAATTAAGTGGAATACGTCTGTTCCACTTTGTTCCTTTTCCACATAAAATTTCTGCCAAACGTGGAACAATAATCTATGTTTTATTCTGTCATGTCCAGCGTACCAAACGCATCCTAAAAGCCAACTCAATCGACAAATAAAGGCTGGATCGCCGGTTTGAGTGTCCTCAGGGCTACTGGGATTAGTTGAGGTGTGCGCAAGCTGGTCTGAATACCCACAATTATAAAAAATATATTAAAAAAGATGATCTAGTAATCCATAAGCGATTTATTTAGGTGGATCGGTATATGGACTTTAATGAATTGGGCCCCACAGATGCTACAAATTGGCTTCGATACCATGTTAGAATATGTTGAACTGTTTTTAACGTTTGTGTATTACAAACAGTGGGAATTTCAAGTTGGTCCGACTGTAGGCATCTCGGCTGGCGATCAAGTATGGATGGCTCGGTACTTATTAGAGGTAAGATCGATGTCGTTTTCACAAAATGAGATTTTTACAGAAACAGTCGCTTCTACTCTGTGTGGGATTTACTACATCCGTTTGGTTTGGTTTGGGTTATCGCATGTTTTATATACGATATATATAATCTACGAATTTGCAGAGGATAACGGAGATGGCAGGAGTGATCGTTTCTTTTGATCCGAAACCAGTTTCGGGTGATTGGAATGGAGCGGGTGCTCACACGAACTATAGCACAAAGTCGATGAGAAACGAAGGAGGGTACGAGGTGATTAAGAAGGCGATTGAAAAGCTCGAAAAGAGGCACGTCGAACATATCGCTGCTTACGGAGAAGGCAACGAGCGTCGGCTAACCGGTAAACACGAGACCGCTGATATCAAGAACTTCAAATGGGTAATTAATGCTTTCCCTCTTTATATATAGATATATATGTGTTTAGACTTGGGATAACGTGAGACCAGCATGTTTTTGTGAGACCCATGAGACCACTTTATTACACTTGAAACTTCACAGTTTTTTTGCTGTGAAGGTTTGGCTTTTTTTACCTTCACAGTGTTTTGCATTTTTTTACTCTTAATTGTTCTAAAACCCTCTGAATGATTTTGTATCCTAAGCCTCCCTTAACCATTAAACGCCCTAATTTCATTGTAAACAATTACCAAACAATTATATTTTATTTTGCACTATATCATAAGAGCCGCTTAATCATTCTGTACCAAACCATTCAACAACTGCCAAACAACCTCTTACCCACACACTTGGTAAACAACCATTTTCTGTCGGTGCTTACCGAGACTGCACTTTTACACCGCGCTTGCCGATATGTGTTCGGCACTGCCAACCCACAGACCCTATTTTCGGATGAGATATCTTATTAAAGTGGTTTATGGTGAACAGGGTGTAGCAAATCGTGGAGCATCGGTACGGGTGGGAAGGGATACAGAGAGAGAGAAGAAAGGTTATTTCGAGGACCGAAGGCCATCATCGAATATGGATCCATATGTCGTGACTTCCATGATTGCCGAAACGACCATCGTTTGGAAGCCTTAAGTCCCAATATTTTGCAATACGTCGTGTGTTTATATAGGACTATTTCGTAAAATTGGTATCAATTCGTTTCCATGTTTAGGTTCGTTAGACGTTGAGAGTTTAGATTCTGATTCTTGGATATCGTAATAATCGCTTTGAGAACACTAGTCGATGAACGGATGGTGAAAGTTGTAGCCGAGCTCAAGTCTTGTATGGATTAAGCTGATAAGTTTAAATAATTTAGATTAGTTTATGTTGATTTTATTTAACCGTTACTTGATGCATTTTGAATTTACCGTAAGCGTACAAATGTTACAGTATCCGGGATCACTACTAATTTTGTTTATCGAGAGTGTTATGTTGATTTGAACCCTTGACCTCGTAAGAGGCTAAAGGCTACGATACCGCTAGGCCAAAGTCCTTTTGATTCAAATTTTTTTTTTTAAAACCATATAAAATAGTATTATATCAATATATAAAGAAGGGAACTCATGCAATGCAACGTGATATATCTCGATTTTAATGTTTCGTTTTATTTTTTTAGTCTCTGTCAATATTATAATATGAATTTATGTGGTTTTGAGCAAACAATAATGTTTTTTTTTTCAAAATATAAATTTGAAGATATTATAAAAATTAAAAATAAATATAAAAGTTCTCATTTTTTGTGTAATTTATTTAATTCAATTTTTTTATTATAATTTAATTCAGGTTCATGACGAACTAATTTGTTTTTGGTTTAACAATATAATTTTTATAAAGATAATAACTAAGTATTATGTTAGAACTCAATAATTATCCTAATTATATTTTAAATATATTTAAAATGATAATTTTATCATGTATTTGATTATATTTATCAAGAGTTAGTTACACAAATTGAAATATGAAGGTTAATAAGTTGTACTTACGCAGAATTTACTTGTAATTTTGAATTTTAAGTAATATGCATCAATAAACAGTTACTTCATATATAAAAGATGAGTTTTAAGAGTTTTTGTTAGATGTTTTATAATATAGTATAGATATGCATCAATAAACAATATTTCATATATAAAAATAGTTTTTAATAATTTTTATCAAATACTGTATTGATTAACTTAACATCATCCATACACCTTTTGCTTTGATTTTGCACCATCCATGCCATTTTGTTCATGAACTTGGCATGGTACATGTTATTCTTTCAACTCAATCTCTTAAAAGGAAATTCCATTTTTGACCCTGTGGTTTGTTAAAATATGCGATTTTCTCCAATGATTTAGAACTTATGGTTTTCCTCATTTTGTATATAATATAATGGGTTCATTCCCTCATAAAACCCTAATTTTCATCCCAGATTGAACTGGAGAAATGAAAATTCATTATCATTTTCGTTCTCAGTCATTTTTGTTCTCCAGCATGAACCAAACAACCCCTTAATTTTTGTTCTACAAAACAGATATTAACTGTCTCTACCTTTGATCTTTGTATTTTTAGTTTATTTTAGGTTTTGCAAATTGAAGGATAGTTGAATCCTCATTAGGGTTCTAACGTTGATAGAGTTGAAAGATTAGGGTTTATAAATAACATCACATGGAAAGTTGAAGGTCCATCCAGCAAAAAGTTGAATCTTCTTCCAAGCGTTACATACCTCATTCTGATAAACCCTGCTCGGTACTCGGTACTGCTGAGAATTAGCGACATAGAGAAATGCTGGCAGGTATGAAGTTATCAACAACGGCGTCGAATCCTGTAATTTTTGGCCGGAAATCTCCCGTCGTGTTTCACTTCTCCGGCAACCATGTCAGACCGACTTTCCGTAGAGTTAACGTGAGTGGATTTAAGGAGGCAGATTCAATTACGAACACTGGTTTTAGACGCTTTTCATCAATTCAATTTAATCGTCGCCAAAATTTGTCTGGAGAATTGGGGTTTTGTGGAAAGGGGTTAAGGATATTGGGTGATAATGGATTTCGAGTTGCGTCTACCTCCAGCGGTGGTGGTTCTGGCATAAATGGTGGATATGGTGGTTCCGATTCTGGTGGTTCTGGTGGAAGCGATGGTGGCGGGGGTGGCAGTGGTGGCGGTGGCGGGGGCAAGAAATGGACTTTTGTTTCATGGTAAAATTTCTTCCTTTGAATGTAATTTGAGCTTGAAATTTGAATGTTAGATCATAGCAAGGTTTTAGGGTTTTAATTTGGCATGTGGGTGGTTTAGTAATTTACCAATCTTGTTCATCTCCATGATTTATGTCCCATATATTTTGGTGCCATCAATGGGACAATAAGAGGCCGTTTGGTTGGTTTTGCATTAATTCTTGTACGGATAAACTTGTATGTGTGGATTAATAGATCGAGAAGGTTTTTGTTTGGATGGATTTTTTCATAGATGGAAAGAGTGTGCTTTTTAATTGGAGGGACATGTTCGGGAAAAAAACTTAGGCTTTCTGCATAAAGCTCCCTCCTAGAAGCTTACCGAATAAGCCACTTTTTATATCATTAAGCCACCACCAAACACTCATGTATAGTTGACCGAATAAGTTGCGAGTCCCATTATCGGGTTCGTTTTGGTTTCGCTTGGAATGGAGATGGTTTGGAATTACTGGGTTTGTTTGGTTTGGTTTCATATGAATGACTATCACTTTTAATGTTCACATCTAATCTACTCACATGGTGTACATGTTTCTTGATGACCCGAGTTCAAGAAATGGTTATCAACTTATAAGAACTCGTTGGATCTATAGATGACCTTAGTAATCGGAAGTGACCTATGAAAGTGGAGGGTATAATTTTCATTAGGTCTTGACTACAAGACAAGTCAAATACAAGACAGGTCATGGGTTAGATCCGAGGGCCCCCTGCTAGCCTCACATTGGCGTCCTTGGAGGCAGGTTCCATGTGGGGCTGGTTGGGTTTGCCGACAACTTTTTCCCAAATACATTGAAGGGTCACCCATTTTTAAGTAGGGCATGTTAGTACATTTTAAAAACCAAACCAAACAAGCCCGGTATATCCCACGTGGTGGGTGGGGTCCGGGGGTGGGATGTACTCAGACCTGACCTCTACCCCAAAGAGTACAACAATTGTTATGTTGAAGGATCCCGGCTTGCGAAAAATGTGTGTGAAAAAGAAAGCTTACTAAATAGGAAACGTTCTCTTTATTTTGGTTCATTTTTCATTGAAAAGATAATTGTGTGCCCGTTATCTACTTTAATTTTGTAATGTGGCAGGTATTTGAGTCTTCTCGAAGCATATCCCGTGTGGACAAAAGCGGTGACATCGGCACTTTTGACGTTTGTTGGAGATTTGATATGCCAGGTAATTGTTTCTTGTTTCATGATTATTACTTTTTCTTCCATAAATATCCAAATCATAATAAATAAACTCTCATCAATTCTATAAATATCTCAATTAATTGGTTTGTATGGTTTCTACTAATGGAGAGGTTTGCAAATGATCCGGACTCTCTCTCTCTCTCTCTCTATATATATATATATATATATATATATATATATATATATGGGAAATACTCATGCACACGCCTCACCTTTGGTGAGGTTTGAACCGTTGACCTCTTTGGAGGTTGGGTTCTACCCCTAACGCATGACTGCTTGGCCAACGACTCTTTGGTTACAAAAACATTTTATTATATATGAGTTTTCCTTGAGGACCAACTCAATAGGCAAATAAAAGTTAGCCCTTGGAGGTCCTCCCAATAGGTCACTGGTTCGAGCCTCCTCATGGCACTGGGATTTTTCTGGCTGTTATCTTCAACGCCCCATGTGATTAGTCAAGATGCACAGAAGCTGGCCTAGACACCCACGATTACCAAAAAAAGGGAAAAAAAAAACAACAATTCTGAACTCCCATTCCAAAGTCTCTCTTTCATAGTATGTTTTGTTTAGGCAAATTTGGTATCTCGTGCTTAAACGAGCTCACCTTCTACTTGCATGTAACAACTTGCCCCTAAAAATGGATAGGAAATTAGATTTGTGAGCTCCTTATAAACTCAAAGCTGTGGGCTACCTATAACTTCCACCATTAACCACAAGGGTGGTGCCTGATTGGTTTGAGCTTGGCTCCAAAGGTCAAAAGTACCAGGAGGTCCTAGGTTCAAATCCAAGGAGGAATAAAAATCCCCTTGTGGCCACGGAGGTTCAAATGCGGTGACTCCGGGCTATCTGCAAAGCAGGTGGTCGCCCTGGGATTAGTCGGCTCGCATAGCGGGTTGGATATCCAGGTTAATCCAAAAAAAAAAAAACTTCCACCATTGGTTTAGTCTACTGCTTTGGGCTTAGGGCGTTACATTGCAACTCAAATCGTGCTTATGGTAGATAACGACTTCCGTGAAACCAATTTGTTTTCTGTTTCCACCTCTACTTTTGATGAAGGAGATCGTCCAAAGTCTTCCCTTTTTCCGGGTTTGATATCACGCTAATGAGTTTCGTTTTAAGATGTAACACTTGTATGCCTCAGGTCGTGATTGACAAAGCGCCGTCTGTGGATCTGAAGCGGGTATCTCTTTTCACGTTTCTAGGGCTGGTGTTGGTTGGGCCTACATTGCACTTCTGGTAATGACATCATTCTTTAATGTTGTAGATAACAATACAGACCAACATAAGTAGTTTGTTAACTTTTATTTTCAAGTATGTATGGTCAGAGTCAGGGACACCCTGGTAACCGTTCATCTCACAGTATGCACACGTGCATACAAGTAATATGTAAGCAGTTTGTTTGGTAGGCACGGAAAATACTCACGCACACTCTTGACCTTTGGTGAGGTTTGAACCCTTGACCTCCTAGGAGGATGGGCTCTACCCATAACTCGGATACTACTAGGCCAATGACCCTTTGGTTAGTTTGTTAACTTCTTAGTGCCCATGCAACTATCTATTTTATTGTTTAGTCTAGCGCTCATTTGTTTTTTGCTCGGGGTTATAATTTGGGGTGGGGATGAACATTCAACCGTCTCCCAACGGTGAGGGTTTAGCCACCAAGGTAAAGATTTATGCAAAATTATTCATGATGTTGCTTATGAAAGGTGTCTTATTGGTTGGGGGAGTAAGGGGTTTGGTTGGTTTTCCATTAAGTTCTGTATGGATAAAGTCGTCTGTATATATTGGAAAGATTTTTGTTTGGGAGGATTTTTTCATAAATGGAAGGAGTGTGATTTTTAATTGGGAGGGGCAGGTTTGAAAAAAAACTTGGCTTTCTATATAAAGCTCTCTCCTAAAATCTTACTAAATAAGGCACTAGCCCACTACCAAATAGTTATATATAACTGACAAAAGAAGCTGCTAATCTCATTAAGCTTATTAAGCTGCTAATAAACGGGTTTTCCATTGATGGCATTTTACCATCTCCATGCTTATATATTATGTATTTGTTGATAACTACTGTTATCTTTTAAGCCTAGTCTCAAAGTTATATATATATATATATATATATATGGATATTTAACATATAGGTACTTATACCTGAGTAAATTGGTGACGATGACGGGAGCTTCCGGTGCTTTTCTCCGCCTCATTGTTGATCAGGTGACCTTTTTATAAGATCGTTTTTTCGCATTAATTTTCTAATAATATTAGCAACAGCTGTATTAATACTTGAACATCTGCAGTTTCTATTTGCACCTGCGTTTATTGGAGTTTTCTTATCGACGTTGGTAACATTAGAAGGAAGGCCGTCCCAAGTTTTGCCGAAGCTTCAACAGGTGATTTTTTGAATTTTTATTACCCGTCTGTCCGAAAATAGATGTCCATAACGAAAAAGGCACATAGATTAAGAAATGTGTAATCATTAAGAAATGTTGCAACTGTTACACTCTCATAATGAAGGGTAGAATTGGAAATAGGCACTTTTGAAAATGAACACTTGTTTTGGGACATAAATCTCCACAATGAAAAAAGCACAAATTAAGAAATGTTGCAACTGTTACACTCTTTTAACTAAATGACAATTTTACCCTTGATAGTAAAGGGAGTAATGAATTTCTCCGTCAAACAATTAAGGGTAGAATTGGAAAGTAGACACTTCATTTTGAAAGTGGACACTTATCTTCCTCCCCAAAATATACGTCCACAATGAAAAAAGCACACATATTAATAAATGTTGTAATTATTGCACTTTTTAATTAACTAAAGGACAAATTTACCCTTAATAACAGATGGAGTAATGAATTTCTCCATCTGAAAATTGAGGATAGAATTGGAAAGTAGGTACTTCATTTTGAATGTGGACACTTATCTTCCATCCCAAAATATATGCCCGCAATTGAAAAGACACAAATTAAGAAATGTCTTAATTGTGACACTTTTTAATCAACTAAATCACAATTTTACCCTTAATAACATATAGAGTAACGAATTTCTCCATCTCATCATTAAGGGTAGAAATGGAAAGCAGGCACTTATTCTTGAAAATTGACACTTATTTTGGGACAAACTAAAATAGAAATACGGACACTTATTTTGGGAGGGAGGGAATAAGATTTATCCTATGATTTGTTAGTTAACGGTATGAAGTTTCTTGTAGTAAAACCGAATGTTCGTTCTTGTAGGAGTGGTTGTCTTCTATTATTGCAAATTGGCAGCTGTGGATACCTTTCCAATTTCTCAACTTCCGATTCGTTCCCCAACAATTTCAGGTTTAAATTGCTCGATCTTTCTCATCGTGGTCGAATTTTGTGCAATAATATGCCTCCTGGAGTCCCAATTTGTTGTGGATTTCCGTTTCTTGGTGTTATTACTAACCTTGCTTCATGCACGTTGAGTCTTCAGGTTCTTGCGGCTAATTTTATCGCACTGGTGTGGAATGTAATTCTATCGTATAAAGCTCACAAGGAAGTAGTTGCGAAATAGGTATGTGCAATACTACTTCGTCCCAAAATAAGTGTTTAATTCCGACTTCACCCTTAATTACGAGGTGGAGAAATTCATTACTCCCTATATTATTTCCTCCATCTCAAAATAAGTTCTACTTTCCAATTCTACCCCTGATTATGAGATGGAGAAATTAATTACTCCCTGTAGTATTACTATTACTGCCTCCATCCCAAAATAAGTGTCTGTTTTCCAATTTTACCCTTAATTATGAGATGGAGAAATTCGTTACTCCTTGTATTACATCTTCCGTCCCAAAATAAGTGTCCTTAATGAAAAGGCACACAAATTTAGGAATTTGTAATTATTACACGATTTAATCAACAAAAGGACAATTTTTACCCTTGGTGACAATGTATATTAAGGGTAGAACGGGAAAGTAGGGACAAACAAATGATAATGTAGACACTTATTTTGGGATGGAGGGTGCATTAAGGGTAAAATTGTCATTTAGTCTTGTAGTTCGTTTGGTATTTGACATATGATCCGGACATGCAGGTTTTAAGAGAACATTTTGTAGATTTCTCATCGGGGGGGCATGACTGACGTACTTTTACAAGGAGCGGCATACATGGATCGTACAACCCTTTCATAAATGTATCAAATTTATCGAGCTTTGTTTTTCTTAAATTTAACGTGCGTCCATTTTGTCTGCCTATAGAACGTGCGTACAAGATGCCTTGCAAGAGTTGCGTTTTTTCTTGTTGAAATGTTCATTTGTAATGGTAATTGGCAAGCACAACAACTTGCAACCAAAGTGGTGTTTTCACAACTTTTTGATTAATTGTAGTGTTAATTGTAGCATATCTGTATTCTTCTTTTCGTTCGTTAGTCAGAGGTTTTTACAGAAACAACCACTCTACTCTTTCAGGTAGGTAGATATAGGGGGCGGATGCACCCATATGGGAGCGGTATCCCAAGATACCATAGATTTTGTCTCGGGTAGAGTAGATTTTTTAAGCTATTTAATGGTGTAACCGCTTTTTTTCTTCTGATCAATTTGAGATTGAATCTTTAGGTATCATCTCCGAGTGGGATAAACCGGCTCATTTCGTTTGTTGTGTTCGTTTTCAAACTATCTTGTTATACCCATTTGCCTGTGAATGATCCTTATAAGATATCGACTTCGATCAACACTTATGTCGTATTCAGACATATTTAGTCCAATAAATCAACTCCAAGACCATATAAAGTTGTTATTAAGCAATTGAAATAAGCCAAAGTTAGGGACTGTTTGATAATTGATGAATGATTTAGTGCAGAATGATTAAATGATCGGAATGATTAATAGGCTCTCATGATCTAGAGTAAAATGAAATATGATTGTTCCGTAATTATTTACAATGGAACTAGGGCGCTGAATGGTCAAGAGAGGCCCAGGATACAAAATCATTCAGAGGGTTTTATAACCATTAAAAAGCAGACTTTTTGTCAAATAAGATTCATCTTTTAACTATTCAAATGATGTCTCTTAATAAAACTATGAAAAGGTATTATTATCTTACAACAACTACATATTTGGTCCAATTAATTCATTAGATTCATCTATAGAAACAGAACCAATCTTCAATTCCAAAGTCCGGCAAACAAAACTCAATATGCAAATTAATGAATTAATAGAAATTTAATCAAACCAAACCAACTCACAATGTATAGACTTAACCTTTATTCACAATGAATAAAGAGGCTGTTTCTGTGAATAGAAGTAAAAAAGAGTGTCGAGCTGCCATGGAAGTTTCTCATTTAATGAAAAGTGAGGTGTAAGATCATATAATAGCATGTATACAGACTTTTGGACTGTTTGACGGTTATTGAATGGTTTGATGCAGAATAATTAAAAAACTCGTAATATAGTATAAAATGAAACATAATTGTTTGGTAATTGTTTACAATGAAATTAGAACGCATAATGGTCAAGGGAGACCTTGGATACAAAACCATTCAGAGGGTTTTAGAACCATTAAGAGTCAGACTATTTTTTGCCAAACAAGATTCACCTCTTAATGATTCATAAATTGCGTCTTAATGAAACTATTAAGAGGTAAACAAACAACCCTTTTACCTCTATTCATTTGTGAATAAAAGAGGCTGTTTCTGTGAATAGAAGTCATAAAAAGAGTAACAAGGTGGCATTAAAGTTCCTCATTTTAATGAAAAGTGAAAGCATAGAGAAAATTACATCATCAGTCTACCAGAATATCAACACCACATGAATATGATTAAAAATTATGTAACACAATAATAAACAAGCAATGGAGAACTTGTAGAACACAAAAACCCAAGTGTGTACTGAAAACAGCAGTTTGTTTTCTTCATGTTTAGAACACATTTCAGCACCACCACCATCATCATCATCATCTGCCTTCTTTCTATTTCTTTTCCAGTTCATAGAAAGTATGGTACCCCTGTCCTTGGACCTCTCATCTGATTATTTTCCTCCGTTTCCGTGAAGAACTTTACCTCTCTCTCCTGTTACAATCAACACATATCGAGTGACGAAAAACATCTCCCAACACTCGTGAAATAATGTCACGTCAACAAACCAAAAGTTTTAGCAAAAAGGGCAAGTTCAAATGAGAACGGTATATATTTTGAGAACAAGGGAACCAACAATTCTTGTTGTATTCATGATAGATATTCATAACGGAAATGCATAATATTCGTAATTATTCGGTGGGTATATTTAAGTATATAACCTTAAATGAGATTTTAATTAAATCCATGACCTTCCCATGAATATGTATCCATATGTGCTTTAACTGGTCAGGAGGTCATGGATTTAATTAAAATCTCATTTAAGGTTATACACCTAAATGACCCTTGTTCAGTGTTTATTTATCATGAATAATATATGAAATAGTTGGTTCCCAAAGTTCTCAAATATTTATGGTTCTAATTTGAACTTCTTGTTATCCTGTTTTTGCTTCCCATCATGCACCATTTTCACCAGATATGTAGATATAGCATCCTAAGGGGATGTTTGTTTGGTTTTTCATTAAGACCTGTATATATAAATTATAAAGCTATCTGTGTGGATTAAGATGTCTATAGGTTGGGAAGGTTTTTTTGGGAGGGTGTTTTCATAGATGGAATGAAAAAACTAGGCTTCCTACCTAAAGCTCCCCTAGAAGCTTACTGAATAAGCCACTTCCTATATCATTAAGCCATCATCAGTCAGTCATGTCTTCTGACCGAATAAGCTGTTAGTCCTATTAAGCTCATTAAGCTGCTAACAAACAGGCCCAAGTACCACTGCTAGCAGAACTTGTAAAAAACTAAATAATCCCCGAAAATCAACATTTAAGTTCATGGTGGGAAACTGGGAATACCATAGTCTCACTAAAGCTTAAAATCGAAGCCACGTTGCCACAGCGATAGCAGTAATTTGGTGCAGACCAGACCTGCATGATGAAGAAGGAAATTTTGGAAACAGATAGTAATCAAAGCGTTAGCATAAACTGGACGTTAAAAGAAGGAAACTTACAGTTACGAGTCCTTTATCTTGAAACATGTACTTTAAACCTTCCTGGACAAGTTGGTGGGCGCGGCAAACTAAATCAAGCTTGTTGATGTGATTGAACTGAAACAGAAGGCATGTATCAATAACCAGCAAATTACATTTTCACCCTTGTGCAAACCGAGTTCACGATGTCTTGTTAGTTCATCCTCCAATGTTCACATTGTTGCAAAACAACAATTGCGCTTTGTTTAACTTTTGGTCAAAGCACGACCATTGTATTTTTGGTCGAAGCACGACCATTGTACTTGTAAAATGCAAATTGAAGTTCGGAATGTCTTGTGTGTTTGACAGCTAAATTTGTCGTTGGCTGTTTGGTTGGTTTTCCATTAAGTCCTGTATGGATAGTTGATTGTGTGGATTAATCTATCTGTATAGATTGGGAAGGTTTTTGTTTGGGAAGGTTTTTTAGTAGATGGAATGAGCATGTTTTTTAATTGGGAAGGGCAGGTTTGGAAAAAAAAAACACTTGGCTTTCTGCAATAAGCACCTGCTAGAAGCTTACTAAATAAGCCACTTTCTATATATTAAGCCACTACCAAACAGTTACATATAGCCGACTGAATAAGCTATGAATCCCATCAAGCTCACTAGAGCATCTCCAACAGCTATGCTAAAACAGAGATTTGGGTATATTTTTGCTCCAACAGCTATGCTATACCTTATGCTAAAATAGAGAAAAGAAGAGGGTAGAAATCTCCAAATTTGGAGAAATCTCTAAAACTCCATATTTAAGAGAGATTATATGTAATTTTTTCCCACCAATAGAAGACATTATATTTAAGTGTTTAGGAGAGATAAATAATATTAAATGTATTGAACATTTTAATGATATAGTGAATGGTAGAATTGCTATAATAGAGTAGCTGTTGGAGTTGAATGTAAATTTTTTTAGCGATTTTAGAGATTTTAACTTTTGATACTCTATTTTAAAAAAAATTATAGCATAGCTGTTGGAGATGCTCTTGAGCTGCTAACAAGCAGGCCCTAAAACAACCATCATATTTTCTTAACTGAAGGTCAAAAGACAAATGCAAACTTTGGTGATTCATTTGCATTCTCACAAAGTGTAATCATAGTATTTTCTTTTACCTCAGATGTAACTCTGGATCCAAAAAGCCATCCAGCTCCACGAGGGCTGACTGCCCACGTTTCAATGTCTTCAGGATCACTCCACATAAGGTCACAAAATGGTCCTTCATGTGGGATCTCACAGTTCCGCTCAATAACTCTGATCTGAAAAGTGGGGTTATGAAGAGACGAAAGAAGAAAACAAAAGATGACACAAGAGGAAAGAAGCTTGGACCACGAGTAGATTGCAGCCAGCATTTGAAGATTATGAGCTTAATATACAATGGTAGCATAGCGAATCAAACCTGATCAATAGTCCTAATGTCAGGTGAAAGACCACCGTGAACGCATAATACCTGTGAAACCAGAGGCAAAGTAATAAAACAACAAACCCTAAATATAAGTAGCTATAAGACCAACCTTGGGCAATCGTTCCTTATAGGTATTACCATATTACATAATTCAATAAAATCTTAATCTCAAATTTGTTGAGTTGGTGTTTAAAAGAGACACATATCTATGCACCGAATGATATATACACCATATACAGCTAGAGGATGAGTATATATGTTTTAATATGATAGGGATTATGATAATGATAATCGGGTGCAATATAAAGGAGAAAGTGAGGCATACAGTTCCATCTATTATTGCCGACAAAGTTAGATAATCGAACACGTCTGTGCAATATCTCCATGCATTAGCATTCCCATACTTTCTCTGGCATTCATCATAAAAACCGTAGACCTACAAAAGATTATCAGACAGAAATAGTAAGCAATTCAAGACCAGAAAGCAAGTCATTATCAATGCATCAAACTGTCATGTATGTATTAATGCATAATGCCGTTTGGAAGCATACAGAATGGAAAATTGCTACTTATGTGTCTCATGTTTGTGAGAAGTACGACTTGGGCTCAGGGGATTTGCCAAAAGAAGGCAGACAACCAAATGAAGAGGTGCAATTTTGTTACTTTTAGTAGCAAAAGCTTGGTTTTCAAACAATGTACAAACCTCTTGCAACATTTTTCTTTGAATTTTATTTCTTTTGATTAATAATGCTAACAAACAAATCTCTTTCGTATAATAGAAATCCCTTGGTTACGTTAAAAGTTTTGATCAAGTTAAGATACATGTAATATGCTAGACAAATTAACGACTTCTGTTATGACTGGCAAATGAACCGCTGATAAGTATTGAAATTTAAAAGTAGAAGCTTAAAACCATGCCCTGATTTATCTAAACGCAAATTTCCTTTCCCTCGGCATTAATCATTAACTCTAGATGTTTAAGTGCAAAGAACTCTCGTTCTATAAGCATGTAAAACATGTTGGCCTGTAAAGGACATCAAACAATGTGAATGTATTGCATATGCCGAAAAATTATTCTACTACCGAAGAAGACCTATAACATTAGGATAGGCATCGTTATAAACACGAGTTACAAGCAAACTTAGGGGCTGTTTGGTTGGTTTTTCATTAAGTCTTGTATGGATAAAGATGTAGGTGGATTAATCTATTGTATAGATTGGGAAGATTTTTGTTTGAAAGGGCTTTTTAATGGATAAAAGAAACGTGTTCTTTAATTGGGAGGCGCAGGTTTAAAAAAACTTGGCTTTCTGCATAAAGCTTCCCCGTAGAAGCTTACTAAATAACCCACTTTCCATATCATTAAGCCAATACCAAACAGTCATGTATAGCTGACCGAATAAGCTGTGAATCTTATTAAGCTCATTAAGTTGCTAACAAACAGGCCCTTAGTGAGTTACACCATTGAACTTTAAGGAAGAATGCCTAGGAAAGAACTGAAACATCAGCTTCAAGAAATCAACGTTTCTGACAGGAAGTCCCACCATGGAGAGAGGGTAAAAAGGCAACAGAATAGAAAGGAAGTGACTACCTTATGCCTGTATTACCATGAAGAAGGCATGTATAACTCATCCCGGAAAAAGGGCCTATAACATGCAATCAAGAGAACAGTTTCAGATAGATCAGTGAAATAACCATGTTGGATGCACGTCAAACTGGAGCTGGTTGATCCAAATTTCCACACAACTAGACAAAACTAGGCTTAATATCCATATCTATTGGACAGGGCAAAAATAGACACACAAGACCCCCGCTCACAAGCTCTGGTAGCTCGTCGGTGCAGCTCACTCCATGTTTTTATTGCTGTATAGACCGATCTAGTGTCATCTTCAAAGCGTGGTTAAATATTAATATTTAAATCTCCAAAGATAGTAACTTCCTAGATCCTCGAGAAGTAACCAAACAGGACGTATTAGTTCTGCAGAACTGATATCCCTGCTGTTTGGGGGCTGTTCGGTTGGTTTTCCATTAAGTCCTCTATGGATAAAACTGTTTGTGTGTATTTATTAATCTGACTGTATAGATTGGAAAGATTTTCTAGGAGGGGTTTTCATATGGAAGGAGCGTGTTTTTTAATTGGGAGAGACAGGTTTGGAAAAAATCTTGGCTTTCTGCATAAAGCTCCCCTTAGAAGCTTACAGAATAAGCCACTTTCTATATCATTAAGCCACTACCAAACAGCCAAGTATAGCTGACCAAATAAGCTGCGAGTCCCATTAAGCCTGTTATGATGCTAACAAACAAGCCCTTAAAGACCGTAGCCATTAGCCAATCTTCACTTTCCCAGATTAAGCCCTAATATTTGCCAAAAGAGAGAACCTCCTGAATGGGTATAGAAAGGTTCTTAAATTATCATCCAGTAAGATTTGCAGCTCCATTGAAAATTGAAAGATGGTATTAGATCAATAACACATAGTATCATCGTGACGTATGATGCTTTCCCATCTTAACCGTGTACGATTTACCATTAAACGTTTCTAAATCATTACCTAGCATAGACAATACCTTACCAACATGCATATGTCAGCACATTCATAGAAAAAGCAGAAAGGGTGTGGTACTGCAACCATAGGCATCAATAAAACATCTTTTGCCTTCTGTTTTCATATAATTTTTAGGATCGACTAAACCCACCAAACACCCCTATTTCCTCTCATAAATAAGGTCTCGTGAGAAAGATAGGTGCCATGGGCCAAACGCCTTGGCATTTTAAGGTTCATCCTAAAGAAGCACAAAAACAAAATTAATTTGCAAGTTACCTGTGTTAATTGCCTGCTTTCGTGATTTCCACGGAGAAGAGTGATATTTGCAGGGTATCTACAAGCAGATGTAAAGCAAGAAAAGATGTAAGTAACAGAGAAGGACAACAGACTTGGGTAAAACCCACAAATGACTGCACACATAAACAGGAACTAGACAGCAGATCACCAACTTATTACTTAATTATTGAAATTGTTCCAGTTCAGTCAGTACACGGGTATTCTTAATATCTCAACTTGAAGCTCTTTCTGGCCTTAAATTACTTGCTGTTTGCTGTATCTGATAATTTTTGTAGGTCTACGGATTTTATGATGAATGCCAGAGAAAGTACGGGAATGCTAATGCATGGAGATGTTGCACAGACATTTTCGATGATCTAACTTTGTCAGCAATAATAGATGGAACTGTATGTAACACCCAAAGCCCAAAGCAACAGACTAGCCCGATAACTCCGAATCCAACTTAAAACCATGGTGAACTAGAAGTTATGCGTAGCCCACAACTTGAGGCTTACAAGGAGCTCACAAAGCCCATTTTCCGTCCATGTGGGACGAGTTGTTACACTATATGCCTCACTTTCTCTTTTAGTTTGCACACAATTATCATTATTATAATTAATCTCAACTTGAAGCTCTCTATGAATACTCAATTGTCTCAGTAGCTTATATTCGAAAAAAATCAAAAATTAGATAGACAAAGGTCATTCTGCTGCTTTACTTAAAGATACAATGCAACATAGGAAGTGTTGATTAATGGAAGTTTCACTAGGGGGAAAATACAATGAAAAAGTTAAGAACAACTCTGACCTTCCCCATTATTGGCCTGTAGATATTAACAGAAGCTACAGAGTGAATTAGATGGAAGTTTGAGCATATGGCTCCGAAAAATATTGGGGGTCTTGTGTCACAGGAAAGGGGTAAGATAAAGAATAAGCCTCGGGACTTGATATAACTGAATGATAAAGAATCAGGGTTTATAATTATGCTGTGAATAGTAGCCTAGAAGAGTAAATTTACTCAACAGTTATACTTGAACCAAAATTATCAGAAAAACAGTAGAGGTCATCAAGAACTATTTTGAAGATTGAAAGAAAACGTTTTAGTTTGATAAATAAACATTGTGGTGTCTACTGAAACAGGGTCAAAAAAACAGAAGGGGATCAGCAAGAAATAAATAATATGAACAAGAGCTTTGTTGGAAAACAGCCAAGGAAACCTAAAAATAAACAATGTAAAAAGAGGTCCCAATACACTAGACATGGTACTTATAACCCTTCACAATACCTATATCTATAGTCAAGACCTTAACAATATTCCTATCACTTTATATGGTATCATGGGAAAGAAAAAATTAGACTTGTTATTCATATTCATACAATAGAACCAACACTGACGCATCCTGGAGGGAGTATCACTACAATGCAAATTACTGAGTGGCCCCATATTTCAATTCCAAGTTGAACAGACTTCTCATGCCCTCGATGTATTTCTTCCTTTTTTTTCTATGCAAAAAACACACATCATGCTGCAATTGAACATCTACAAGATCAATTAGAAGCCATGTTGGATTGATGAAGTTTTCCTAGAGCACAGATTAATTACTGCACACGAGGGCATGCATAAATTTGACTCGAACTCTCTAGTTAAGCAGTGGATGCTGTAGGAGATGCAGAATGGATATTCTTGCATTTCAAGAAAAGACAGACACCTGAATGGTAAATATGGAAGTAGGAAGGCAAGATACAAAAATATTCAGCACCATTTTATTTCAAGCAGGAAAATCATTTTCACATTCTAGCGTGATCAGTTCCCACAAGAGAACGAACAAAAAGAAATATCTCATTTCGCAAAGGACATATGATCCTGAAGATAGCCCACTTAGTCCATGTGGAAGTCTCCTCAACCACACCAAGGAATTCAGTTTTACAAGGCAAATTGAAGTTAATAAGTGCTCTTCTCCTCTGGTCACTTAGATCTCTTGATGCCAAAGCGACATTATAATGGTTCTGAATTCATTTCAAATAAATCAACAACATAACCTAGAGGACGTCTCCATTTTCAAAAGGTTAAAGGAATATCATTAATCATTCTAGCAAAATTATTCCGCAGTGAAAATTTATATATTATTACTTTGGTGAACATGTGTACAAATTGTTACAACTAAGAAGACAGTATAATTTACAAATATCACAAGTTTGCAGCCACATATGACGGTAAATATTACACAGGCATACCACTAAATCTGCAAATGTTACATTCCTGCTAGATTATTATTTTACTTTGCCTTCATCTTTGAATTTAAGTGCATTCCATTATGTTGTTTTCTTCTAAATGTTGACTAGTGTCTATTTTAAAGTATTTTATTTGTTCTTATTTCTGAACAACCTATTACGGCAATGTTGCTTCTAAAATACATATAGAGGAAATGCCTGGAAGACAAGAAAAGGATATCTTATTTATTATTACATCTATTTCAAAATTTTGAGGTTATGATTAATATATAATAGTTCCAACTTTAAAAGCCACATTTTATAATAATTAAAGGTTCTTTTGAACGTTGATTCCTTGAATGAAGCTCATTTTCTTCAGCTACATGATGAAATTTGTGTTTATTATCTGGGTAAAAGAAAAAGCGGTTGTTTGAGGTTGTAATTCACTTTTATTTAATTTTCCACGATCAAAATGCAATTTAATATGCACATAAGTTGCATGTGAGTGCCCTTGAGATAATAAGTTATATCAAAGCCAATTAAGTATTTCATATAATGCAATTCATCCCTAACCTTCATATTTTTCAACCCCACTAATATTGGGAGGCATCAACATCCAGGCAGTTATACACAAAGCTTATGCCTGTTAATAGGATATTATGTTTAATCATAACATCTCGAAGCTATACATAGATATAGCCATATATGCGTAAATGCAAAAAATGTAGACATATATGCAAATGTGAGCATAGGTGCAGAGCAGGCTAATACCCTTGGCAGAAAATATTAATTACCTTGCTTTTAGAAGCAAAAGTATTGTGAAAACTTCCAAACTGTTGTAACCACGATCAACAAAATCCCCCTGCCAAGAAACACAAGGAACTTCTAGAATACATATACAGCTTCGTAAGTCTTCTAAACTAATGCGTAAACAATAAATATGCAGAATTATGTGCATGCAGCACAAATTTACCATAAAAATATAATTTGTCTCGGGTACATGACCTCCGGTCTGAAAGAGCTTCATCAAGTCATGAAATTGGCCATGAATATCACCGCAAACAGTAACTGGACTATTGACTGGCTGAACATTTGACTCCTCAATTAAGATGTCCTTTACCTGAAAGGAAAATAATTTGAGCTACTGGCAGTAGTACAGAGCATAAGACATACCATTTTAGATAGGTCATACTCACTCCATTCCACTTCGAGCGTCCCCCTTTTCTTTTTGGGTGTTCAACTTTAGGTGGTGCCCCTTCTATAATAGACAAAATACTTTTACACCCTTCTTCAGGTTTTTGTTCTTTTAAATATTTGCAACTATCATACGCAGGCAGGAAAGAATAAAATTTAAAAAGACATGCAAAAAGAGACAAAGTAGAATTATGGTTAAGTTGGAGTTCTTATGTTATTTTGTTTAGGCAGTGAACTAGCAAGTCCTCATGTATATAAATGATTTCCAGTAACAAACACGTTTTGTACCCTAAACATTCAGATGAACCAAAGCCTTTACTTTAAATCTTAGTTTTAAACTGCCACACGAGGAAGAGTATTTTATTTAATTTTATTTGACTCCCAAGGTCCGTCATCTGCCTTTCAACCAAGTCAAGACTCTTTTTGAACCTAACTTGAATCCAAACAAGCATCCAACATGCTACCCTGTTCAAACCACATCTCACCATAAACGACTTCATTGGAGCATCTCCGGCTTTCATCCAACTGATTGCCACATGTTCCGACCTTTGCGCGTGATTCTGGCCTCATCTAAGCTCCCCGTACTTCCTGCAAGCCTCTATTGCAGCACAAAACCCTCTGCAAGGGTCTTGACACCCGGTGTGACCCATCCACCCAATCATCCCTCTAATCTACCTCCAAGTGGTCCCCCTCTACCTTCAACAGCTCTGATCTAACCCTTTTGTATGGACCTAACTTCAACAGCTCCCCTCTAGCCACCAATCTGAATCACAGCATGGATCTAATTTCTTGGTCCGTTCCATTTGTTTCAAAAAGTCTTCTGGTTTTTCCAGAAGTCTTAGAAAGTCTATAGCTATGTTAAAACTTTTTGAAAATTCTGGATACTTTTGGGAGTTTCTGCACAATTCAATAAGTTCAAGGGTCTTTAGGCAGGATTTCCAAGTTAAGAGGTTATTTTCATTTCTCAAACACTCCAAGCTCCATCTTCCAATTTTCAGGAAGTTCAGAACCAGTTTTACATCTTCCAGAGAGTTTAAGGCTTGATTTATAGTTTCATAAAAGCTCAAGCATCATTACCCTCTACAGTATACAACATGGAGACTGTCAGGCTAGTTAGGCTGATGCAAGTGCAATTCCGACGTCCAATTCTGCTGTCTAGTTCTGGTTGTGTCAAGTGTAGCCTCTCTAGCGACTATTGTCCTAACTCTCCTCTTGATTTGTTCCCATTATCGAATATCAGGTATTAGTCTGTAGTGTCTCAATGGAGTAATTCTACATTTTTTCTGGCATCGTATTTCAGCTTGCAGAATCTTAATAGAGAAGTTGTAAGGTTTTGTTCCTTGTAGGGGGAGGGGATAAATGATGGGAGTCATCAAATATGTGTTGTTGGTTGAACATGTCGAACATCCTATCAACATCAACACCCGTCGGACATGTTGCCTTTTGCACCAACTCTCACGCCATACAATACAAACTCCTTGGTATCTAGTTAATTAGCCCTAACTAATCAAAGAGGTATGAAGACGCTTAACACCTAGGGTGCCGCTTAAGCGGTCCTAGCCAGAGACTTTTAGAATGCTAGCAAGGATTATAAGAAATACCTACAGCTAATGCTCGATTCCTAGTGTTTTAAATTTTAAAATTCTCATAAATGAAGCATGGTAATAGAGATTTTAAATATAGTGGCTGCAGACCACTCCCTGGGCATCTCCTTTGTATTAATTTACTGAAAAGACACACTGAGTTTGCTTAAAAGCAGCATAACAATGTTCTAACACAAATAAAGCAGAATTCATACACCAATATGGATTCATCCAACGTGTGGATTTACATGCCCTTCACCATCAGACGTATGAAAGCAACAACTATGGCCATGCTTCTATGCATTTCTTGGATTAACTTTTGCTATTTATTTCCATATAGTGCAGTGCAACCTATGAAAGTTTGAAGCAAGAATCGCTCGACTAACAAAAAAGGACAAGTAAGTAAATAGTTATTTCCTGTTGCAAATCTTAAACTCATCAACAGGTTTTTACCAAAATGAAGAACTCCATGGATCTTCAATCATATGAGTGGCATCCCCTATCAGACTGTCAGAATTCAGAACAATTATAGCACTCAATGGTGTACACCAACACAACCATTTGGTTCACAAAATCATGACACATACAAGAGAAAAACTAGGGTTTCATTTGCCGGAACTCATACAGAAGTTCTAGATCAGAACACCACATAACCAGTGTTTTTAATTCATTTTGCCAAGTAACAATAACCGGCCTATATAAGTTCCAAGTAAGGGTCATTCAAGTGACGAGAAAGAAAAAGGAAGTACATATTTCTTCCCTGTTGCAAATCTTGGACTCAATAGCGGGTTTTAGAATGAACAGTTCCATGGATCTTCAGTTCTTTACCATTTAATAAACATGTCCTCTTACGAAACCATTCCTACCATTCAAATGTACATGAACACATCCGTATTGGTTCAACAAAATCTCGACACATACAACAACAAAAATTAGGTTTTCCATTTTGCTGAACTCATACAAAAATCCTAAATCAAAACACCAAAAAACCAATAAAATTCCACGAAAACCTCAACTCGATCTCAAAAACCACGAAATCACAACCTCATACCCAGCCAAACCCAATTCGTCCAGATGAAATCCATAACCATTTGCACATACAAAAAACACATAGAAACAAACAAAGGGAGAATAAAAACGCGTACGTATTCGCATAACAGCTGCAACTCATCTTCGGACAAGTGCTGGCCCTCTTTGACCTTTGATATCCACAGATCCAAATCCATCGTCCAAATCCCAAATTTTTTGTCTCTGAATTCCTCCGATGGTTTAGGTATGATATGAGCTTTGCAAGGTTGAGATTTGGGTGGTCTGAATCGCTGTCTGAGTGACCTCCGATGGATGAAATGGACGGAGAAACAGAGACGGCCGACGAAAGTAGTTTTGTTTGGCCTTTCTGCTACGAAAGGAGTTCTTGGTAGGTGCAGTTTTGCCTGTTATATCCCTACTTCTATTTCGATTCAACATTTGAGTCATTATAAATATTTATTTAACCTCCATGAAAAAAATTATAAAAATAACGGATGAATACTCTGGTAACTGTTTATGTGAACGTTATGTGTATATGCATACAAATAATTGAAGTTGTTTCTTGGTTATTATGCACATGTTCATGCTGTTCAGATCAACAATTACAAGTATTGTTCCTCACTTTTTTTATTTTTTACGTTCTTTCTCAGAACTTGACCTTTGTTATTTATTTCGATAATTATAAAAGGGCAAATTGTATGAAAAAATAATGTACTTTGACTTGATTCTTATTTTAGGTAATGTACTTTTAGAACTTCTATTTTGGTGAATAGGATGTAAAGTTTTAAAACATTTAAGTACTCAGGTAACCAGTTGAAGCATTAACCGGTTATCATACTGGTGTAATTAGTGGTATGGTATTCAACTCAGTATTATTTGTTGACGTGATTAGTGACATGGGTTTTTTTTAATCTAAAATTAGTCTTCGACCGGTTATCCGAGTAACTAAATGTTTAAAATTTTTACATCTTAGATATCAAAATGAAAGTTCTGAAAGTACGTTACCCAAAATATGAATTAAGTTAAAGTATGTTACTTTTTTCATACAATTTATACATTATAAAATTCATCAAATAAAAATACTTATAATTTTATTTTGAATTTTAAATTTAATTCGATATGAATAATACACCTGTGGGCCCGTCCTTATCGTCAGAGTCAGATTCAAACAAATTAAAACGATGTCATGGCTACAGATTTTTTTTAAGATTCGACTGTTGTTTTGTAATAACATGAGACTCTAGTGAGGGCTTAGTAAATTTGTTTTGCACGTCATTAACTCCTTGAGGACCGTGACTGTATCGTGCGACATCTTCCCTTCGTTTACTGTTTAACAGTACCCGTGTTTTATTTTCTATTAAAAAGAATTGTGTGGATCATTAGCGGGATTCTTATGTATATGACTTGGATTATGGCAATACTGGTTAACTCTCGTATGTATAGAGTGGAAATATGATGTTCCATATTCGAATTCAGACGCTATCATATACTGTGCATGTATGTATGTATGTATGTATGTATGTGGTGTCTTTTAGTTTTCTTAAGTTGTTTTTGACGAACTGGGTGTAAATGATATTGATTGTAGATTTTAGTAGCTTATTTTTGCGTATTTTATACTTCAAAATATGTTTTTTGAAAAAATTACGGTGTTTCTAAACATTTTCCCTTCTTTAACCATAGTCTCGGGTAAAGATTATGATTTGTCCCGATCCGGTGGAGAACTTGGCTCACTCAACCCGAACGGGGATGGGGATTACCCGCTAAAACGGGTTCGGGGGCGGGGATCCCTGGTAGACTCAAATCGAGGTTGGGGCAAGGTATTGTACCCCCGCACCCGCCCTGTACCCATACCCGGTATAGTAATATTAATTTAATAAGTATTTGGGTTTGGAAAATCTTGATGTTGAACCTCTGTTTATGTTGGACTTCAAGAGTCTTTGTACTAGGAAACATGGGACTGGATCGGGGCAGGGGAACGGGTCTTGAGTTGGAGACCGGGAACCAAGGTTTGACCGGGGACGGGATATTAATCTCTGTACCCGCCAGGGACAGGGGGCTGGGGCCAGGGATTACAAAACCCGCCCCCATCCCTACCTTGTTGCCACGGGGTCATGGATCCAATCTAATTTGCGTTTATGTAAGAGATACGTTTTGTATGAATAAATAAACTTTTTGGTTTTATTTAAGAAGTTATTATTAACACGTGTAAATTTAAATTTCTCTCATTTTCCGTTACACTGAATAACCTAAAAGAAACAAAAAGAAATCGAATCATATTACTATTTTACATAAAAAGTACACTTATTGAAAATGAAATGAATTTAAATTAAATTGTTATACTGTGAATTTGGGGTCTGTTCGGTTTGCAAAATTTGATGAAATTTGAAATCGAATTTTATTTTAATATCGTGTTTGATTTTAACAGATATTTGGAACTGAAGCATCAATATTTCAAGAAAATCTCACAATAGATTTAGGGTTTGTTTGGTTTTTCAAAATTACCTCTTAATACATTTGAAATCTGATTCATTTAGACATTTAGGTATCAAGGGGTTTGTTTTATTTATTATTAGAAGCGTACTCGCGCAATGCAACGAGATACATCGTTATTTTAATATTTTATTTTATTATTTATCTCAGTCGATGTTATAATATGACTTTATGTGATTTTGACAAAACGATGATGTTTTTGTTTTTGAATAAAATATATGTTTGAAGATATCATAAAAATTTGACAAAAATATATCGATATTAGYATCAAATTAACTATTTGAAATTTCTCATTTTTTTTGTAATTTTTTAATTCAACTTTTTATAATTTAATTTATATACAATAACGAAGTAATTTATATTTGGTTTAATAATATAACTTTTTTATAAAGATAATAATTATTTATTTTGTTGGAACTCGATAATTATTCTAA